TCCAACGGAATTGGCACATAACCCGCCTTGGGTTCGTACTTGACTCTTCTCATCTTCTTGTGGATGCGAATCATTTCCATGTCGGCTTCGTTGATCACCCATTCATCATCAGTCGCCAACACGAGATTGTCGGGTACCTGTTCATGAGAACAGCATCCCTCGGTCTTCTGATGGAAGCCGTACTCGTAGTGGGAGAAGTAGGTGAGGAAGCTCGACTTCTTATGCTTGCTGAAACGCACATTCCACATCAGCTGACTGAGTTCAAGAAGATCAAGTACCAGGTGTGAGCTGGGTGCAACCTTCAGCCTCACATCCTTGATTCCCAGCACAGGGCTGCTGAGTAAGGCCTTTTCCGGATGGAGCTCGAACTGGAAACGAAGATTGCGCATCTGAGGTAAGGACATGAGAATGGGAACATGCCCTTGTTCCACAATGTCGAACTCTGTGGATTGAACTGCAAAGTCCCGGTCGTACATGCAAATGACCAACTTCTGGTTGCATTTGGTAGACTCGGAATTGGCAAAGGTGAACTGAGAAGTGGTCTCAGCAATGGTGTACCATATGCCACAGTTCTGGTTCTTGTCACAGAACTCCATGAGGTCCTGTGCGGCCACTCTCGAAGCCATTGCTCTCGTGCATCCCAGGTCCAACACCATCGCGGTCGGCGTCAAGGGCTGAGAGATGAAGGCTTCCTCGATCTCATTGATCTTCTCTTCGGTGGCCATGAAAGAAAAGTTCGGAGTGTTGAGATGTTCAACGAAGAAGGTTGTGGCGGCTGTGGTGCCGCTCGGGGCAGCATCAGCAAGCTGGCTCTGTCCGTCTTTTCCGGACTTTCCATCTTTTCCATCCTTGCCAAACTTGCTCTTTCCTTTGCCCTTCTTTCCTTTCTTTCCTTTTCCTTTGGCTGCATAGGATTCCTCAGACTCGTACCAGGACCAGTCATCCCAGGACTGATCGCTCCACTGGTAATCTTGCCATTGTCCTTCTGCTTGCCATGCTTCTGATTCTTCGGCAAGATGTGACCTGCCTTTCTTCCTTTTGAAGAAGCGCCTTCCTTTGGATCCTTTGCCACCTTTTCCTTTGCCTTTACGGTGGCCCTTGAATCCGCGCCTCATCTTGCGGCCTTGGAAGCGCCGCTGGAACCATGAATAGTTCTCGTCGTCGTAGACCCAGAAGGCGTCCTCATCCGCTTCGAGGAAACCTTCGGTGCCATCTTCCTCGTCCTCGACCCAGTAGCCTTCATGATCGTTCAAATATCCTTCATCGATCACAAGGAAGGTCTTGCGGCCACCGTGGCCGGAAGGAGCGAGGAGTGGATTGTCGACGGTAGTCTTGGTCGTACAGAAGATCTCCAGGTAGACTTCGCGAAGCTCGGCCGTGTTGTAGTCAGCCAGGACTCGGTTCCGATGCGCCATCAGTGATGTCAACACCTGACGCTGATCCTGTGTCAGATCAGACAGGGACACAAAGATCAAAGCGACCAGGTTGGGCGTGATCGGAATGGTCCGAGCATGCTGCTCTCTGAGCCGTTCGTTGGCTCTCTCCATTGCCTGAGCTGGCGTAAGGTTTTCTTGTTCTTCTGGAGGAAGTCCTACTATGAAAGCTCTGACCTCTGCATTGTTCGGGTCCTCGATCGGCAGATAGGTATCGTTCCACGCTTCTTGCATTCTCTGAACAGAGAGTTGAAACCTGGTAATCCAACGAAGCATGTCTCCGTTCCCACGGTGCATGTTCATGAACTGCTGGAAGCGATAGAGAAAAACATTCGCTGCTCCCTTCACGAAAAGCGGCCGCAGGAAACTCTTGAAGTACTTCACTCCGTTGTTCGGGTCCTTCAGGCGATCTCTGTCGAGAAGTCTCTTGTGGATTGCTGCTTCACCGTCTAGCCGATTTCTCAAAGCTGGTCCACGCTTATCATTGTCTAGCTCAGTAATGTCACACCAGTCATCGATCGCATCTTCATAGGCAAACCAACTGCTTCTACCATCATAAGATGGAGGTACTTTTGTGGTCACCTGCTGGAAAGCTGAAAGACGGTGTAATTCATTGAGATGACGATGATTAAGTCGCGAAAGATTCATTTCCGTGGAGGAGGTAGTCATCATCTCCTCCTTCATGCTCAAAGATAGTCGCAGAGTGGCTAGCCATTGCGATGTTCTTGGATCGAGCCCCGGGAGAAACCTCTTCCGGTTATCTTCACCTGAGTGAAGTGTGCCGGAGAGACTCCGGTCACCTTCACCTGAGTGAAGCACACCGGGTATTCCGGTTGCCTCCACCTGTGTAGAGAGTACCGAACGGGTACCTCCACAAGTGTGAAGCTTCCCGTTTCCCGGGAGCTCCGCTACCACGTTGAGATGTAACCTGGACGTGTATCCCCTCGCTAGGCGTACAGGAACACAGGCACTCAGGTGTCTCTTTTCCTACAGGCGCACAGCTGGAACCTTGAGCAACAGGCATGGATACATGCAAGTGATACGTGAAACAGACAGGCACCTGGATGTGTAACATTCAGTGTTTCACACCCCCCCCCCCCCCCCCCCCCCCCCCCCCCCCCCCCCCCCCCCCCCCCCCCCCCCCCCCCCGCCCCCCCCCCCTCCCCCCCCCTCCCTCTCTCTTCCGCCCTTCCGGGTCGTGACCCCTCTGCCCTCCTCGCTCGTTTTCCTTTTTTGGTTCCCCACCCGCGTGTTTTTTCGATTGCCTGCTCGTTTTCTTTCACCTTTTCTTCTCTTTCGGCCTGCCCCCGGCTCGACTTCCTCATTGAAGCTGCCCCTCGCCCCCCCCCCCCAGCCCTCCTCCCGCCGCTTCCCCGGCCCCTTTTCCCACCCTTCCGTCTTGTCTGCACTTCTCTTGGCTTGTTTTCCTTCCTTCCCCCCTCCCCCTCTTGCTGGCCCCCCGCTTCCTCCCCGGCCGGCCAGTCCACCCTTCCGTGTTGTCGTGCCCTCGTGTGTTTTGTCGACCTTTTCTCCTCTTTCGGCCTGCCCCCCACCGATCCGACTCCACTGCCTTTTCTTCTTATGTTTCGTTTGCGTGCTTTGGCTCTCCTGCTTCCTCCTTGAAGCTCCGTCGTTTTGCTGTTTTGTTGCTCCCCCCGCCCCCCTCCCCGGCCCCCCGTCTTGTCCTGCCCCCTCCCCCCTTCCTCCTCCCCCCCCCCCTTGCTGGCCCCCCCCTCCTCCTCCGGCCCCCCCTTCCTCCTCTGCCTTCCCGTCGTTTTTTGTTTTATCCTGCTCGTTTTCTTTACTCTTTTCTTCTCTTCCGGCCGCCCCCCGGGCCGGCTCCACTGCCTTTTCTTCGTATGTTTCGTTCGCGTGCTTTGGCTTTTTCGGCCTGCCCCCCCCGGGCCGGCTCCACTGCCTTCTCTTCTTATGTTTCGTTCGTGTGCTTTGGCTTTCCTGCTTCCTTGTTGAAGCTTCCCCCCCCCCGACCCTCCCTCCCTTCCCCGGCCCTCCTCCCCCCGGGCCTTCCCCCGGCCCCTTTTCCCACCCTTCCGTCTTGTCCTGCCCTCTTCCATTGGGAGGTTTTGTGCACTTGTTTTTGGCTTGTTTTCTTCCCCCCCCCCTTCCCCCCACCCTTCCTCCTCCGGCCCCCCCTTCCTCCTCCGGCTTCCCCTTGTTTTTTGTCTTCTGCCTGCTCGTTTTCTTTCACCTTTTCTTCTCTTTCGGCCTGCCCCCGGCTCCACTGTCTTTTCTTCTTATGTTTCGTTTGCGTGCTTCTTTCCTGCTTCCTCGTTGAATCTCGTTTTGCTGTTTTGTTGCCCCTCGCCCCCCCCCCCAGCCCTCCTCCCTCCCCGCTCCCCCGGCCCCTTTTCCCACCCTTCCGTCTTGTCTGCACTTCTTTTGGCTTGTTTTCCTTCCTTCCCCCCCTCCCCCTCTTGCTGGCCCCCCCTTCCTCCTCCTTCCGTGTTGTCTTGCCCTCGCGTGTTTTTTCGACCTTTTCTCCTCTTTCGGCCTGCCCCCCACCGAGCCGGCTCCACTGCCTTTTCTTCTTATGTTTCGTTTGCGTGCTTTGGCTCTCCTGCTTCCTCCTTGAAGCTCCGTCGTTTTGCTGTTTTGTTGCCCCTCGCCCCCGCCCCCCCTCAGCCCCTCCTCCCTCCCCCGGCCCCCCTCCCGGGCCCCCCCCCGTCTTGTCCTGCCCCTCCACCCTTCCTCCCCCCCCTTGCTGGGCCCCCCTCTGTTTTATCCTGCTCGCGTTCTTTCCTCTTTTCTTCTCTTCCGGCCTGCCGCCCCCCGGGCCGGCTCCACTGCCTTTTCTTCTTATGTTTCGTTCGCGTGCTTTGGCTTTTTCGGCCTGCCCCCCCCGGGCCGGCTCCACTGCCTTTTCTTTTTATGTTTCGTTCGTGTGCTTTTCCCCCCACCCCGACCCTTCCTCCCTTCCCCGGCCCCCCTCCCCCCGGGCCTTCCCCCGGCCCCTTTTCCCATTTTTCCATTGCGACTTTTTCGTGCACTTCTTTTTGGCTTGTTTTCTTCCCCCCCCCCCCTTCCCCCCACCCTTCCTCCTCCGGCCCCCCCTTCCTCCTCCGGCTTCCCCTTGTTTTTTGTCTTCTGCCTGCTCGTTTTCTTTCACCTTTTCTTCTCTTTCGGCCTGCCTCCGGCTCCACTGTCTTTTCTTCTTATGTTTTCGTTTGCGTGCTTCTTTCCTGCTTCCTCGTTGAAGCTCTCGTTTTGCTGTTTTGTTGCCCCGTTTTGCTGCATGTGTTTGCTCTACACTTGCCACACTTCTCCAAGTAGCCCTGACCCTGCAACTAATTTACACCTGCTTTAAGAGGCCCTTCGCAGTTTGGCCCCTGCTCTGCGCCCCTGCTGGCCCTACTGCAGTCGGCGGCCGAGGCGGGCTGCGTAGCATTAGAATTAGAACAGACAGACTCCTAGAGCTCTTTGAATCGCATAATCTGAACTGCAGCTGAAGATGCGCGAGCAAGTTGGAGCCTGAGTGATGTTCATCGGCACAAAAGGGCACGCAAGATGCAACATGAAAATTCCTCCGCCGCACCGAGTGGTACGCTGTTACGTGCTGTCTGAGCGGCGATCTGAGGCCTGTGCCTGCTGCCAGATGCACAAGGGAACTTCTCCCCAAAAGCTTAAAAGTCACTGGATCTTGCAGCCTTTCAGTTTCCTTAGTTCTTGAAGGTCAGCTCGAGACCTCGAGGAAGGCCAAACGCACCAGGAGCGGCTCTGCCGGGGCCGCCTGCTCAGAGAGGACTTCGGGCTTGAGACATGAGGGGACAGACATTGCCATAGCACCGGAAGGACTGTAGACTATGACTGGGAGAGTTCAAGCTGAGAAGCCGATTGATTGCTTCAAGCCGGCATCGTTTTGGAGGCGTAGCTTCCGTTGCATGAACAGAAGCACCCCGATGGCCCTGCCTTGCAGCTTGTGTAGCAGGCGTCCCGGGGAGAGTCAAACCTTTGTGAACCATGCAGCTCCACGATGAAACCGTGGCGTTCTATCCCTGTCACTTCGGTCACTCTTAAGTTATTAAGTGACTCTTCAGGCCACGGCGTCTCACGTCCAGCACCCTGAGTCTCACCGTCCTCCTGCTAGCAACTGCTAGTACGAGCTATGCAAGCGAGCTCAGCCCTCCGAGGGTGGCCCGACCACCCCCCCCCAACCCCGGGGCCCGGGGCTCCTGTTTCCGCGTATGCTCCGACTCCGAGCTGGGGCAGCTGAGGCTCTTGGTGCCTGGTCGCAGCACTCTGAACGTGTCTTCGATTCGACGCCTTCGCTGCGATGCTGCGATGCGCAGACTGCCCTGGCCTGGCCTATTGCGGCTCCTGTTTGCTCCGATGTGGGCGAAGGCGACGCAGCTAATACCCTCGGGGCGGCCTTTGGCCCCGAGACTGAGAGCTCCTCTGCTGAGACGGATGACAGCCAAGGGCACACTTCAGGTCTCTTCGATGGCTCAGTCCTTTGCTTTTGCCGTCGGCTGCGCTTCGTAACGACAGGCTGCAGCTGTGTCTGTAGAGTTCCCTGGCGGTGCTTGGCATCGTGTCTGCTGCTGCCGTGCTGGCTGCGGACCCGAGCCCACTCGTGCTTCCCGAATAATCGGTGCCGTCGGTGCCGTGTCTGCTGGCGCTTGTGGCTGCACATCTGGCACTTCTGGCTGCAGGGTCACGGTTTCCATTGCTTGAGTCATGGATGCGGGCAGATGCTCGCTGCGGCTAGGCAGAGAAGCTGTCGTCGCCGTCATCGCCGTCGCGGTCGTTGCAGTCATTGTCTCGCAAGGAGCCAACAAGTCTGTCGGTTGCGCAACCTGCACGTGTGCGACGGTGGCTTTGCTCCTCAGCTGTCCACCAGGTCAGGAAGCTTGAGACTCCGAGGCAGTGAAGCTGCAGCTTGGCAACTCTCGGGCAGGTTGCCGTTGAGCTCCACCTGTCATAGCACACATGCCCCTTCCAGTGAAAGACGTAGAAGACAAGCTCACAAGCGAAGCCGCGAAGCCACTCTCCGAGCCGCTCGGCCTGGAATCAGCCGGCTTTGTGATGGCAACGGGCCCTCAGCAAGCCTTGTTCAGGTCACCCGTGTTTCAACGGTTCTGAGCAGCTCAGACTTGACTTGCTGGCCAGCCGCGCTCCACGACGCATTTGCCTCAGGGCCTGCTGATGGTGCCTCAGTATTGACCCGCGCAGCCGAAGAGATATCCGTGCGTGAGCGCAGACTTGGAAAGCGCGAGAAATGCCCGTCCCCTTCACGGAACTTCGACAAAAAACAGCCAAGAGCGCGTCTGCGAGCGCCTCTGCAGCTTCGGCCGTTGAGGCCGCGGCTGCTCCCAGAGCGAAGGCCCGGAAGGCCCCGCCAAAGGCGAAGGCCGTGGCGCCTCGGCTCAAAACCGGTCTCGGGAGGGTCCCGTCCCGGTTTTCACGTCGCTGGCTCGAGCCTGGAGCTGCGAGCCTGGCCGAGCATGCGCCGTCAACCTTTCAGCCGCCGAGCAGCTTTTTGGTGCTACACGCGTCACGCGTTGTCTGCTGTTGCCTGGCCTGGGCGACTGTGGTTGTGGGGCATCGAAGCGCGGCGAGGTCGGGGGCGAGGCGCCGAAGTGACCTGACTTCAGGCAATGCCCTGCGAAAAGAAGGGCAGGTGCCCAGCATGCCTGCTGCCACTGTCGAGCGCGCCGGACCCGAACCGCTGCAGACGATGAAGGCCTTGGGGCGCCACTTCATGTGTCAGTTGAAGAAAGCGGCCAAGCTCGGCCTCTCTCAACCCTGCGGGGGCCTCTCGGGAGCGGCTCAACATGTCCACGGCGACGGACACCTCGAAACGGAGGAGCGGTAAAAAACTTCTTCGCAGCCCGGTGGCCCCCGGTGCCTCTGGTATCCGAGGCGAGACCATCGGATGGACGAGCTGCGACCTGAGACGCTCGCAATGATGCCCCGCATCATTGGTCTCCTGATGGCAAAGATACCCTCGGCCCATCCGTCGTCCATCAGGCCTGGCAGTGGACGAGAGCGCCGGGTGCGCTGCGACGCGAGGACTTGGATACCTTCATCGCGCAGCTTCTAGACTCGTCTGCAGATACATGAGAAGATCAGAAGCAGATTCTACATCACATCCTCGTGGATGGCCAGGGCACGCCACCCAGTTTGCCGTCGCAGCAGAGGGTGGCAAATTCGATCGAGCCCTAACCGGACGCAGCAGCCAATTGTCTGAGACGGTGAGTGTTCATCACGCTTCCTCTGTCAACATGCTAGCAGACTTGACATTGCAGCCCTGCGCACAAGCGACGTGTGCAGGTCGGGATGCTGCTGAAGTTCTCTCTCAGCCTCGAACCTACAATCTAGAAGTCCAAGTTTTTTGCAAAAGCATTTGCAGGGTTACCACAACCTCTACTACATGGGGCGTTGTCCTTCTTCTTTTGCATGCACGTCGATTGAGTGAAGGAGTGCAAGGCACCATTGAGCGGAGATGTGTGAAGTTGCTCGAGTCGCCAAACAGAGAAGCCTAGGAAAGAGAAAACAGAGGTACACTGCTGACCAGCGACCTGCACATCATGGTCATACCACAACACCGAGCTGCTGCATGTGATAGCAAAACAAAATTCAGGCATCGATGAGGCATGATAACGCATGGCGAACTTGCGAACCAAGGCTTTGTCGACCGACGGGTGGACTACCGTAAAATGCCTGTCCTCAGGAAGCTATACATCCCTCGCTGAGGCTGGCACGTGGCATCGGCGCCGGGATGCGCCTTGAGTCTTCTCAGCCAACAGCCAAAAGCAAGCTGCTGACTACAGCTCCATGCAGATTGGAAGTGGTACTTTCCATTACTTTCCTTATCTTTCGTGATGCGGTCTCGATGGTCACATGTCATGCAGTTTCTTTCATATGTCAGACGAGGCCTTGCGCTGCTCTGCTTCTTGGGATGAGTTTTGACAGGCAGCTGTTGACCGCCAGTTCGTTGTTGCTCTATGAGCCGAAATAACTTTCCTCTCTATAGTCCGTGATCTGGCATGGATGGATTGTCTCAATTGATGCGCTATCGCTTGTTGCATGGCTTTTTCTGTGAATTCTTCGAACACTTCTACCATTGCTGCACTCAGGTGCTCGTCACTGTCTTATGCACCCTCGACAGTTCCTTTGTGGTACTGCCGCACAAAGTTCATATCAGAATCCTATCCTGGAGTTTGCTGCTTGGTCCTGCCCTGGAGTGAGCTGCTGCATGTTGAGCATGGAGGGCAGCTGTGACATCTGCGAGTACCCCAATGCTGCCTCTCTCTCTCTCTCTCTCCCTCGGTTTTGCAGGTCCAAGTGGCCGGGGCGACCACTGCTCGATGCAGTGGCTTTGGAGATGCTTGCGAGGCATCTAGGTGAAGTGCACAGTCGGCTGCATCAGTTGCGGAGGCGTGCCGGCGAGGGCTGGAACCCCAAGCTTTCTACTTATCAAGCAAAAACATAGTTGGAGCTGGGTGTCATTTGCACGTCGGCATGGACATCATCCGCTCCTGTCAGGAATGAGAGGCCATGCTTTGGGGGGGGAACGTGCTGCAAACGCCTCAAGACTGCAGCCAAGTCTCGATGGGGCGCAATGTAGCAGGCGCCACGCCGGGTGCAACCTTAGCAAAGGATAGCTACTGAGTCATTAGCACACGCCACTTGCCCTGCAGTGCTTCGCCCCAGGCTCCTGACTCGGTATCCCTGGGAGCTCGAAATCATCGGCGCCACAGCGAGAGGTCAAAAATGCATGAGGACTCGCAATCAGCTCTTGCAGTTTGGCTAGTTGAAGGCTCATGCAAGGAAAGATTCGACTTGTCTGAGGGTACGTGGTGGATTCTGCCTGGAGTCTCTTCATGACAACGGAACATGAAACAGCTGCAGACATTGAGAGAGTTCAAGTCTCTTGGCATTCGCTGGCCGGCCTACCTTTGGTATCGAGGCTTCTCGGATGGCTTCTGTCGGCGCTTGTGTCTGGACCTTCAACTTAGGCTCTTGGGCGAGGCTCTCTTGAGCAGGGAAACACTCGGAGATCCCTGGAGCTGTGCAAACTCGCAGCATAGGTTTTTCCAAGCTCCACCGTCACTGCACGCCGAACCTCGGCGAAGCCAGACAAGAAAGGCTGGTCCCCCATGCTTGGATTGGCACCGAGCCTGCAAAGACACGCACTTACGGACAATGGTGCGTAAAGCCTCCTTGCCGAGAGCACTACGTGCGCAGGGCATCGCCGACGAGGCTGCGTGTCTTGGGATCCTCCACATCGAGGACCTTCAAACGCTCAAGAGTTCTAAGAAAACCCTCCCTGCTCCCAATCGCACTCGAAGATACTCGAACGATGCACTTTGAAAATGACAGCCCGGAAGCTCGTAAATCGCTGTCGCTGCAACTCCACATACTGGCAAAGTTCAGGCAAGCCTGCAGCACCTCGTTAGCAGCTCGTCGCAGCTGCTTCCTGTACAGGAGAGGTCATCCCCGCTGCGGCAGATCTTTTGGACCAAGGACAGCTAAAGTACACAGTGTCGCACACCGGGATCTGACGTGAGATCCTTCAATTGGCGGCCTATGGCCGTGCAGTGAGCACGTAAGGTGCTGAATGCAGTCTTTGCAATGCAGATCATCTGAGTCTGCATCACCTGCTTCAGCTCAAGCAGAAGCACAAAGCTGTGCCTCGCAGCATTCGCAGACCTTACCGAAGCAAAAACCCGCAAGAACTCGTCTTGGCACTACTCGGCTCACTTCTGGTCAATCCATCTCGTTGTTGAGCTGTACCCTGCTATGTCTTAGCCCATCGCAAAGCAGAAGGTGTTGTAGAAAATGGTCGTGACTGGTGGGGTTCCAGGATTCTGTCCAAACGTTATTCCCGGCACTGCGCAAGGCAGACTACGAACACTGCCAAGAACTCGTGGTTTCTCGATTGTCTGGACTCTGGACTTGTTCGGGTCGCTGTAGGTGCAGTAAACAGCTTCGAGGCTTGAGGCTTTGGGGTCGCCACTGAGCTTGGAGATGAGCCAATGACAGCCAATGCCTATCTTCATATTTCGGGCAAGTCGCTCCATCAATGCAGCTGCCTGCCGAAGGAGTCGAACCGCTGCCCTGGCATCCCAAGCCTCATGCAGACATAGCCTGAAAGAGCAAGAGAGAGAAGAGAGCGAGAGAGAGAGAGAGGTCGAGAGAGCGTGTCAATAGAGAGCCAGAAGGAGCTAAATGCAAATGGAGAGACAAGCACATCGAGAGTTGAAAGTTCAATGCATGTAGCCTTGGTCTCTGCTGCTGTACGACTGGGGCGGCGACCTCCTTACATGCAGCTGCCTCGTTTGCAAGGTGCTCTGCCTGCCCAATAGCAGAACATTCATAGAGTCGCCAGTCATGAGAGTATGCTGCTTGGGAGTGCAGGGTATCAGCAGCTGCAGAAGAGTTTGGAAGCTTGGCCTTTGTCTTGGCGGGCGATCTTCACAAGCACACTTCTCGCCCCCATCCGTGCAAAAACCGCACGAGTCGATTTTAATCTTTTTCGAGGACTGGCAGGACAGGAGGTGCGACAAGTGGCAGGTGGCGTTTACTAAGCTGCGATCGTGCTCCATCCAGCCAGGATGCAACATGCGCTTAACCAGGCTGGGCCTGGAAGACGACGGCTGCCTCCACACTTTGCTCGGGCGGGGCCTTCGTCCTCGATCAATGGGTCCGTTATGACGACAATGACCGCAAACCGTGTATGATGTGTGACAGATGATCCGGTGCACTTTTGTCGCACAACATAGCAGAACCTGACAGAGCGCATCAAGATACGGAGGGTTTTTGTCTCTCTTGGGTCTTCATTTTGGGGTCACTTGGGTCTTCAGTCTATGTAGGTGTTTCATTAAATTTACACCTGTGAACAAAAACCCAAGGCTTCTTTGGTTTTTGACTTTTAGGTTCTAGGCTTTGGCAAAAAACCTCAAAGGCCTAGGGCTTCATGCATGTTTCTGGTGAAAAGACTACATTAAAGATCCAAGCAGCCCCGGAAAAGAACACCCAAGGGACCCTTCGGTCCACGGGAAGCCACGTAATCGCTGCGGTGTCTTACAGAGGTACAAAAGGCGGCAGATGCGTACAGAGTATACAGACATCTCGTCCCTACATGCCTCGTAGCTATCAAGACGCTCGCCAATGATCTACAGTTTCAGAACATTGAAAAAAGTTCAGCGGGCAGGAGCTACATGCCCGCAGCCTCGGCCGGGGCTTTGTTCCCTTTTTTGCACATCGGCGGGCCCGTCTCTCCGCCTGGTCGGGAATCTGCTTCAGGCAGCAGAGAATGCTGGGGCCAAGGATCATTGTGTGATTCTGCGCAAATCTCCCGTCAGCCCTGCTGGCTTCTGTTGATACTACAAATAGCACCATTCATGCCGCTGGCTGCTGACAGATCTTTCGAAAGCCACATTGGCACTGCCAAGCCTCTGCCCTCTTCCAGCATGCCTCTCGTCACAAACGAGGGATGCACGAGTGCAAGGGAGCATCTGACATCCAGTTGATTCCAGAAGCGTTACTCAGCAGCGTAACGGAGACACGCACGATATTGAAGTAGTTCGGTTTCTCATGAGCCCAGCAGAGAGTACCAGTATGCTGTATATTGACGAGGATAACCGCAGCCGTTGTTCTTAGCTGGTGCCTTTGCCGCCCGGAGCGCGGCTTGGAGGGGCGTTTCACCAGGGCGGGCAACCTGACGGCAAATGACACAGGCCTGGTTTTCGCATGTTCTCTGCTGCTTGATGAGGGTTCTCTGGCTGAGCTGCGTGCGGTGGCTGCACGGCGCGCTGCAGCTGCAGCAATCCTTGCCGGGAAAGGGCGATACAGAGAGCTGCGCCGGCCGATCTCCGATGAGGTTCGGGATTGGCCCGTCGAATAAGTGGTGTCCAGATCCCGCCGCGGCTGGCAGGCATGTGGGCCTCAGCTGAGTTTCCAGAAGAGAAACATTCGCGTGACAGAAAGCCTCAGAGGCCCTGAGCACACAGTGAAGGAGGACAGGCCACTGTAAATGCACCATTGCAGTTAAGCTGCCCGATGTTTCCCTGGCATGGTCACGACGTCGCGTCGATGACAGCGTATAGTTGATACTTGAGGAGTTATGTCATCGTGGCTTGGATGGCTTGGTAGCATGCTGTAGCAGCGCGTGTGCCTATCAGCCCGTTTCAGTACACATGGCCTACACACTGATCCGTATCGGGCATGTCTATCGTTTATTTACTATGGTATGGTTGGCTATGAGTGGCCAGTGGGCACGTGGAGAGGCAGTGAGCCACAAACGCAATTGCCCAGCCCCTCAGATACAATGAGGAGTGGTGCTTAAGTTTATGCTTGCAGTTACTACACAAGCCAACAAGGAAAAAGTTTTTAGCAAGTAGGATGACTGAGTGCTCACATTGATGGAGAGAAAGAAGCCCAAGACAAGATACACTGATGAAGGCGCCAGTTTCTCGCGATGAGGCACACGCTGCCAGTCCCCTGGTGTGCCACAGATCCCGGTTGAGGCTTTGCAACCAGGCACAAGGGCATTTCGCGGTGCGAGGAGCCCGGCTTCACACTCGAAGAAAGCAGTCGGCTGGCAGAGTGATCGGACATCCAAGACTCTCTGGAGTGTGTCACCGGGCTGACGCTGCACTTCCAGATCTCGAGCGAGAATACTCCGACACATTAACTGCATGTACTGAGATACGTGCCAACTGCCTCAGCCTGCCGAAGCTCTCGAAGCTGGCGGCAGCTCACAGGCTATGGTAAAATTCTGGTAAAAGCAAGCAATGCTTCGTTAACGTTCGGCGAGGCTGCAGGTAGAGTTCTGATGGAAATGGACTGGGAACAAAAAATCGAAGTAAATGTGTGGTGCCGACTTGACGAGGATGAAATCCTATGATCGCGACTTCTATGAACTCCTGACTCAATATGCTCTGCATGACTCCTTGCATCAGACAGCTCTACCGACCTGCCTAACATGAAGGGCATGCTTGTGATGCCTCGGTTCGTGTCTATGCAGGTCCCGCCTGTGGCTGGATTCCTGCTCCTAGCTACCTCGCTGTCTCATGCTGTCTCACGAGTGTTTGGAGGTTGTTTGCGGTAGAGCTGCTTAACTGCTGTAGATTTGGCACCCTTTCACTTCAAGGGCCCAGGGTGGCTTCGTAGCAAATTCGTAGGCTTTGGGGTCTGGTCTGCTGCCTGCTCTCCTTGTCGCTCCCAGTCCCAGCCCAGGCAGCCCAGCGGTCAGCCTCAGACCGCCGGATCTCAGAAGCACAGCCCTGAGCCCTGCATCAGACTCTGCTCCAGCCTTCGGCGCGTCAGGAGGCCACCATGACCTTTCCAGCTCAGGCTGCTGATCGCTGAGGCTCATGCCTGTCACGGCTGTCACGGCCTGGATGAGGTAGAGAGGCAATGCTTGAAAGTCCTTGAAGACGCAGAAGACCCTTGGCCTGGAAGAACGGAGAACGAGGGGAGGAGGAAAGGCGATGCCGTGGGGTTCGGATTTTCGCCTCTGCGCGTCGTCGGCCGTAGCATCGAAGCGTTTGCCAGAAGAGTCACAGCGCGGAGGTTCCAGAAGACCCTCCTGCGCAAGCTATGCAAGCGAGGCAAAGCCAATCAAATCAAAAGGCCAAGCTCTAAATCCACGGGGCCAACATGTGTGGCTTCTGGTGTTTTCGGTACAGTGTATCTGTGCGGCTTCGTTTTTCTGCGCGACTTCAAAACTCTGCAGCAGCCTGACTTTCGACACTTCAATCCCCGCACCTTGCCGCGCGTATAGTGGCCAGGCCTGAAGCCCGTGGACATGTGCCCGAAAGGGACCATTGCTCACCTACGTTTTTTCAGAGATACATCTTGACACTGCGCTCGTCTTGAAAAGCAGAGCCCACCCTCAAAGGTCCTGGCAGCACCCCAGCCAACAGCAGTGCACGGCTGGACTGAGTGCGTCCCGCGAAGCGTAGTGCATAAGCCTAGCGCTTCCCGAGAGGTGAGCCAGGAGCTGAAACGTGTTAGTGCTTGATTAGTTCCGGAATGTCGCTCCTAGCAGATCTGTTCATACATACTTGCATGCATACATACAGACAGACGTACAGACGTACAGGCGCACAGAAGTACAGGCATAAACACAGGCAGGCAGGCAGATAGACAGACAGACAGACTGACTGACGTACAGACACACAGAAAAGACAGGCAGACAGACACGCAGAACAGGCAGACAGACAGACATACATAAATACATACACATGAACACATGGGTGCATGGATGCATGCATGCATATGGGTATAGATGCATGCGTGCCTGTGTGCGTGCATTCCTGCCTGGCTAGCCTGGCCTGCCTGGCTGTATCGCTGCATCTCTGTATTTGTAGACTGTTGCCTGCATAGTGCACAGTGTACAGTGTATCGCGTATGGTGCATGCAGAATCGTGCATATTGTGTACCGTGCATCGCTTCCTTATGCTGCATGTAATTTACCGTGTATCGTATATCGTACAGCGGACATAGTGTATGTGTTCAATATATACTATTTAGTATGGTATGAATGTAGTTTGGGGAGTATAGTACAAACGTGCATAACATATGGTCTACAGTCAAAATCATTACTGCCATGGTCATGTAATTATGTACAATGTGTCAATACTTTCCTCCTCCTCCTCCTCCTACTACTACTACTACTACTACTACTACTACTACTACTACTACTACTACTGTGATGACGACTACTCTTATTGCAATTTTCCATTTTGTTTTCACGTATTTAAGTTGTCCATGTTTATGCTGATGTAGATTGCCACGAGTCGCTGCACGCAGGAGCGGCAGCTAAAGCATGAGCTTTACCCCTACACCCCCAGCCGGCTCTAGCATCCGCAGACACTACAACTAGCTCCGGCCGGATCTTCTGCGAAGTAGACGCCGCGCCCCAGCTTGGAGCCATGCCTACGAGGCTTCATCCAACCATGGAACCACAAAGTCAACTAAACGACTTGTTGTCCCTGGCTGCCTGGCGTTGAAGGCATACGCCCGATTGAACCCATGACGCCTGCACGGTTCAAAGCTGCTGAGCAGACACTGCAGATCAATGTTTCCAAGCTTAAGAAAACAGCAGCTTGCCATCACCACCCACACTCACACCCACGGCAACAGACGGGCACACTTCTGCGAAAGACTCCAGGCCTACGGCCTACGAAGACTCTACAACTATGCAGGAACAGACAAATCGATGCAGCTGCTGATCCGTGTAGCAGACTCACACTGCGAACTGAAAGATTCAGTAGCTCAGTGGCAGACACGATGTTGGGCACGCATTCCCAAGCAGTTCCGTGCCAAAGGAATCGCTCCTGCCAGTTCTCCGATCTGGACTCGCGAAGTCTACTTCGGCTTCAGTCATAGCTGTCAGACTCATAGCTTGCATCGACAGGGTCGCTCCGGACCCAAGGTCTCGCGGACCTGAAAGCATTGGCACATGAGGCGGGATCACTCGTGTCTGGAAGTGTCCTGTAGTCTGGCATGCGGCATGACCTTGACAATGCGATGTATTCAATCTCAGGCTAGGGCTGCACTGTATGCCGCCGCTGCCACCCCAGCAAGACCAGAGACTCGTGCTGTGAAGCCTTGATGCCACTGGCTGGAAATGGCAGAGTCCCCGAAGCTTCGCACGCTCAGGCGAGGTGCCAATGCGCGCCCCTGGCGGGAGCCGTGCGGAAAGCTCATGTAGAGCGCGGCGGAAGGGTTCTGAAGCCTTGGCAGAAGAGGCTCTACCAAGGCAGTATTTCAGAGCACCAGCACGGCACCTCGTCTGCATCCACAGACAGGGGCCGCTCGGGCAGCAGCAGTCCTTGAGTTCAGATATGAAGCAAAGCACTGCTTGTAGCACTTCGCGGCTTCGCGTCAAGGAGAGTCCTCGTCCGAGCAACTCTGAGAGGATCAAGGCGCCCGTCTCCAAGCGCAGGTTTGGCGACTGCACAAACAAAAGGTCACGCAAGCTTAACCCGAGCAAGAGCACAACTAAACCTTATCACCTTGAAAGGTTCGGGTCGACCGTGTGAAGTGATGCGACGGCAGCCGCTGAGATCTAATCCAAGCGTGGCCTCTGCTGGAGGGACCACAGATTCTCGACGGCTGCGTGGCGAAGTCTGGCGGAAGCTGGGAGGGGCTTCAATCCAGAATCCAGTTTCTCACACAGGTGTCAGGTTGCACTTGTGATATGCACTATCTTGCCGGCCGCTCAGGTATTTTCGAGCCAGCACAGACGCCTCGAGTGGAAGTGGAACGTGTGTCCTGTCCATGCTCGGCTTGCGAGTTTGGCGGAGGGCGGTCCCCGGCAGAGGAGCGTCCGCTTCCCCATTGTGGGGTCCACAGAGACCAGCCGCCACCGACTTTGCCGTTCAGGAATCGGCGCGAGATCTAAAAGCACGTGCCTGCTAGAGACTTCTAGCGAGATCGACTCAGCATGTTCGGGTGTTATGCACAGAAGACCGTCAATTCCAAGAGCTTTCAGGTCGCACTACGAATGCCAACTGTTCACTACAACATCTGGTGTGCTCGCTGAATTGTCATTGCCCAAAATTTCTGGTGACCTATGGACCTATCATGCTGAGGGATGCAAACAACCCGCCGTCCTGCAAAATGAAGTGGCCGGAAACAACAACACAACGTAGTTGAAAGCTGCCAAATGGGCTCGTTGCCCGTAGGAAGCGACAGAGACCAGGTGGAAGAGTGAGTTCTCTCCGCACACTTCCCGAAGCTATGCCGGCAACGTGCTCCAATCTGAGGCAGATGAAGGAGTTCAAAGGTTCCGGAGTCTCTGGAAGACTATGGCATAGTACTGGACTCATGAGGGCCACTGATGCAGCGTACAGCACACCTTGGCACTGCAAAGAAAAATTATGAACAGGAGCACCGGCACTTGCACCGGTCAGGGCCTTAAATGTCCCTCATACCAATGCGTGAGGTGCAATGATGGGGCTCCCTTCGCAGGTCTGAGACCCGGCTAAGCCTATGCCTACGAGTAATTATTGCCAAGGGGCAGGATTTATAGGATGCAAGCAATAGACTTCATCTCAACCACCCACTCTGTGCAGAGATGCATCATCGTCGTCGTGCCCCTTGAACTAAAATAAGCTGACGCAGCTCCAGACTAGTCCTACGTCTGCGCACCCGACTGCGCAGTCGACGCTCCAAATTCACGTCTGCTTCTCAGGCTTTCCTGAAGGTATTGTGCAGAATTGTCTTCTCGACCAGTCACGGTTCACGACTTCCAGGGTCTTTAGCTCTTCATGAGCATGTCAGCCCTCCGGGCCCCAGCCTAAGGATCTGAGTATTGACATCCTTTCGATCATCGCGACATAAAGCCCTAAAGCCTGCAATATCGACGACTACAAAGTACACTTTGCGGGCCTGCCCTTGCAGCCTATAAGGGCTGGGATGTCCTGCCGTCTACCTTCAAGTCACCAATTGCAGAGTGTACACTTCACTTTTGCCGTCTCACTCGAATAAATCGACTCACTCGACTCTGGCTCATTGGGCTCATCTTCGTCGTAAACACGATACCTCACACATGGATAACAAGCCCTCTTCGAACATGTGAGCAGCTAAGCTCGTGGACAAGTTGAGCGCTGCTGGATTCCACAGGGTCCAGCAGCCAGCACCTGATGCCCCAAGCGCTGCGCCTCGTCGTTGGATCCACAGCATAGTCGAAACTTGTGGGCCGCTTGCGGCCGTCAAAGCCCCAGGCAGGCCAGGAGAGCTGCTTAAATCCACCTCCGGACAACAGCTCGTTGGAAGCAGGAAAGGCTGCGGCTTTGGAGACGTGACTCATGTTATGTAGTCCAGGCGCGGAGGAAGTTGAGACCAGCGAAAGGAACGGGCCGCTCGTAGGGCAGGAGCACGTCCCTGCCCTTCGTGACGGGATCCACCTGACAAAGGCAGTCCTCGTCCGCAACTGTTGCACATTTCTGTGCATGACGACTAGCCGCCTAGCCTTCGAAGCCAAGTCGAAGAGTTTCTTTCGCAGGCCTCAAGGAGTTTCTGAAACTGTCTCACGTTAGGTCAGACGTCAAGCGGTCAGGCGTGCTAATTTCAATGCTGGCAGCTTCGAAGCTTCTCCCCTCGCAGACCTTCTGCCCAAGACCTGCAAGTCACGGGTGCCGAGCTGGGGCTCCTAATCGCTCCCAATCCCGATGGACGAGGGGGGCCTTCTTGACAGACATTGGCTTGGGCTTTAGTGATTTAGTGAGGCACGGCAAGCCCCCGTTCGAGGCCTCACAGCCCAGATGGTGTCGAAGGCTCCCATGAAGCCACGGCTGCAGCCTCCAAGACATAGTGGTTATGTGCACGCAAGCCGTCTGACTTCTGAGACTTCGCCACCTGTAGCCACCTGTCGTCTCTGTAGCCGCGTGCGTGCCTTCGCCATAGGGCCAGAAAGGCTCTCGCAGCGCGTCGCCAGCGAAGAAGACCGGGAGCTCGCGCTCGAAGCCGTCCTGGGAATCGCCGCTTTTCCGCCTATGCTCTTCTGCTCTTCTCATCATGCCATGCCCGAGTTGCAAAGAGGTAGATGGGCTGCGACAGCCAAGTCAGGTTTGCGTGGTACCTCGGCATCAGCCCTCCGACGGGGCAAAAAGCAAGGCAAGTAGCTACAAAGATGGCAAGTCTGCTGCTCAGTTGCGCGAAGGCCGAGAGAGCCGGCCGGCCACGAGGGTCCAAAGCAATCGCCCTTTGTCGGACTTAGCCACTTACGTGTTTCAGCCCTGCTCATACACAGTGACGGCCCTTCCGAAGGGAAGCCTCGTCGTCCAGAAGTCTTCTGGGATCTCAACGCTGAAGATGTCCCCCAGCGAACGAACCTCCGAAGAGTTATCTGGAGTCCTTCACCCAGCACGCTCTTGCTCTCTACAATCTATACCCCTGCACTCTGCACTAAGACTTGCTGGCTAGAACCTGGCACAACTTGAGGGAGGGAAGCTACCGGACGTCAGAGTTCGACGTCTCCAAAGACTTGTGAGCCTTCTTCGAGTACTCTTCAACCACGATGCGGGCGAAGTCCTTACCCGAATCCAGATAGGATCGAGGCGGCAAGTAGCGCACAGGTCAGGTGCAGCGACTTGGTGACACTTTCCGCATCCCGCTGTCCTCCAGCTTTTTCATGTCAACGTTTTCGGCAGACAAGAGATCCTGTACATCAGTGCAAAAGAGGCTTCTGGAATGACACTGTGGTTGTACAGTGCTGTGAGGTCTTGAGTCGCGCCTTCCCCTTGAGGGAGCCATTGCGCAGCACACCGTGCTCCACCAGCACTTCGGGCTCCACTGTCATGATGAAGTAATGGGTCTCGCCTGCAGAGAGCGTCCAGTCTGGACCCGGTCATGAATGCATAGGCTTCTGTCTCCGAAAAAACCCGCAAAATGCGGAGGCACTATTGTAAAATGTCGAGCGGTGTCCACTGCTGGGTCTCTACCGTTCTAGACATCACGCCATTGCGCATCTTGCACAGGCTCTACCCAAGCCTACACAAGTCCATCGACTCTGGCCAGTGCAAGCAGTGTGAAGCCCTTCCATTCAGAACACTCCCGGAGAGTCTTCCAACCCAAACGCTTGCGATTCCGAGTCTGGTACTGACCCTTTGCTATGGGCATGCGGTTCCTAGGGAAGCATTGCCTTCAGCATGCTTGAGAATCCGGCTGCATCTGTACTCCTGTGCGAGCCTTGGAGATAGATGAGCCGCTTCACCAGCGACAACTCCTCTTCAGAGAAACCGCGTGGGCCTTGGATGAGCCGAAAAAGTACGACAGGTTCTTCCGTCTGTCAGGCGCCGGTAAGCTGTTGAAGCACATGCCCACATCACTTTCACCGTAGTATCATGCACAATTCCAGTCGGCTCCTCGCTGACAAAAGCAGCAACTGCAAACACTGCAAAACCATGAAACCTTCATGAAGTCTAGGGGCACTCTTCCAATAAGCGATCGTCCGGCTCCATCAAATTCTCGAAGTTGGCAACCTTGTGTGTGGCTTGGGTTTCGCTGCTGCAGCAACAATCAGTTGAACAAGACATGGATCCATTGCAGGGCCTGCGACTTTGAGAAATGCGCGACTTGCAGACAATGCAAACAGCTAAAGTCGCGTTATCTGCCGGACAAGAGGCCACTGCGAACTCCCAGCCTACGAGGCATTTACAATTGAGAAAGCGATTCTTGCGCACAGGCAGACTTTAGCCTGGCTCCGTGGTGAGACCATCAGCTCGAACTCGCTGGAGGCCAAGCTGTGCCGCGACCCTTCCAATAGGGGGAGTTTCCGAGATTTCGGCTCCTCTCCTCACAGCGCCGAGAGCCTGGCCTGCTGTTGCCGCCATCGCAAGCAACCAGAGCCGACAGGCTGTGGGTCGCTTCGGCGCCTCCCAAGGAGACGTTCTCTCCCCTGTCTGCTGCCTCCGAGAAGTGCTGAAGTGGCTGTTGCCGCCAAGGCTCCCAGGGTCCGCTGCCCAAGTGGATCCAGGGATGCCCTCTGCGTCGTGACGCGCAAAAACTTCTTCGAGGGTGACCTCATGGGCTTCCAACTCTCGCGAAATCGCAGCAGATGCCCGTCACATCCCGTCACGCTTTGTGACTTGACTCGGGAGCCAGGCGCGCACACGTCCTGGAACGGCCGGGACATGAGATGCAGAAAGGACAACCCTGTCGGCGTCAAGGGACGCGGCGTCCTTGAAGCTGGCACTCCAGGTATAGCGAACTCCCGCCAGTAGGCCCAGCTTCAGAAGCAACGACTGCAGCTCGCGGATCCCGATGTGGTCCTCGGTGGGGAGACCGAAGCCGGAGTTTGGGGAATCTCGGCCACGCGGAAAGACTCAAACACTGTCTTTGCCCAAGGCGCGATGTATGTCAAAAAGTTTGGGAGCAAGTGCTTTGCTCCCAAGTCCAGAAGATCGGCTGCAGCCCAGTCCCATAGCTTCAAGATATTCATACCTTGCCGTCGAAAATGCGAGTCTTTTGTTGGCCCTCCCCATCTTCTCCCGTGACCATGGCAAGGCAATCTGGGAAGCTGGCGGTAAAAGCCATCCCGAACGTCAAAGACCTGAACCTTGAGCTGTACACGAGGCCATTCACACACCCCACAGGACAGCTCTTCCGGTGCCTTTGCGCCGAGCAGTGCCAGTTCCAAAGCCGCCCTCAGGCCGATTGGTCCGGCACCTGGGCAGAGCCCAGTTGAAGAGCAGCAGCAGCAGCAGCAGCTTCTTGCCATGAGGTTTGGCAAGCGGTACATGCTATGACATGCAGACTCTCCAGAAGACTGTGCACGAAGGGACAACCTCGGACTCAGACAGAACAATCTTGACACCTTGCTGCCCTACCGAAAGTATCGGCAAAGAGCACTATCGTTACTAGCTGCAAAAGGCCACGGTGCCGACAACACCCAGGTGTGCATCTTGGAGTGGATAGCCACCTGGTGCCAAAGCAACTTTGGTGCTGCATGTAACTGGCTGCCAGTTACTGCCAGATGGGTCGGTCGTTCCCGCTATGTACTCGGAAGGCCGGGAAGGGAATGCTGAGAGCTTGAGAAGCACTCTTTGCGTGAGCTCGCACACATGCCGAAGAAGACGCGCAACCGACCCATCACTCCTGCCTGCATCCTTCTGCCGCTCGAACCGCGGAATCGAGACCGAGGGCATTCTGCAAGGCAAGGAGGCTTTGTCAAACATGTCTTGACGGAGTTGCGACTTCGAGCATGCCCTGAAATCGGCACCTGCCCATGAGCTTCTCGTACAGGACAACGGAGGTGCCAGTGATGCCTCAGTGAAGGATTTCCTGAACGTGTGATACAGTAGTGTGACTCAAGCTGAGCTTGAGACTGTCAGGTAGGTCAGGCGGCAGAAGAGAGCAGAGCTTTGAGAAAGCTGCGTGGATATCTGCCACCTGGAGAGCCTTGTATGGATGAGGCACTCGCAACAAGAAGAAAAATTGTAATCTTGAAGTAGCAGTTGATGTCTTTGAACTTTGAAGTTCTCTCGTTCTTCCGGGGGTTCGACATCCCCGGACTTTCTTATGCTTGCAGGCGAGAATCTCGGCAGAACTCCTGCGCTTGCCACTGCATGCGTGCGCACCGTGACACGCGGATGTTTTTTTGAGCAAAACCTACCCGGGTCCTCCCAAGCCACGTCAAGCGAGGCGGGCTTGAAACCGTTCCGTGAAGCGCTTCGCGAAGCACTCCGCGAAGACAGAGGGCTCCGCATGGGGCTTGGGCTTCCTTGCACAAGGTTGGATCATCACTCTCCGGTCAACTGGCATCCCCGGCACCCATCTACACACTCCTCGAGCACTCTTCGGACTGTCCATGAGTTTCGTCTGCGACCGGCGCATCCTGCACAGCCGGGTCTTTTGTAGCCAGTTGGAAACAGATCTATGATTGCCATGCACGTCCCCGTCTACCGCTTACTTTGCGCTCCAAAGCCGCTCTGGTTTGCTCAGCTGTGGCATCCGGATCTGGCTATGTGTGTAAATGATGCTGGAATGAAGGTATCATGAGAAGGCAGATTCCTCAAGTCATGATATGGGATCAACCGGTCTCGTCGACAGGAAGCTGAAGTCTCTTCATATGGTACGAGAGTGTCTCATTGAGGCCCAGACGAGTAGAGTCGCTTCACGGAGGGGAGTTGGCTTTTCAGCCACTCCTGGAAGTCGAAGGAATCTGACCATCTCCATTCAAACATACCCACATGGCCTCCCCTTGAGCTGGATCCGCCTCCAGCCTGCCGGCGTGCTGAAACTTGACAACGCAATTTCTCTTTGCTTCACTGGGGCCATGCACTGGTAGAAACCTGGCCTGTCGGAGAGGAGCTGCCACAAGGCATCCGCGTCCAGAAACTCACCTCGCATACGCGCTGCGACAGGAATCCTCGACAACCTCTGGCATGCAGGCACGCGGGAGAGACTGAACGGCCAGGAGACTGTCGTAAGGATCAAGAACCGCAAGGAACGCATCCTCGCTTGGAAAGAGCCACGAATCCTCCTGTGAGAGCAATCGCACGACAATGAATCATGCAACAGCACTGAGAACTGTTTACAAGATGCAAACGGCTGCACATTTCAGAATTGTCCTTCAGATGTTGGCACTCCTCCACCGACAGGAGGCCGTCATTGTTCCTCAAGTTATCGCATGGTTGTAACCCGACACTCGTGCCGCACCGAAAGAATTGACCCACCGTCAGCAGACCTACCAACATTTCTGCTGAGCGTCGCATCAAGAAACCGGAGCAAGCGCCGCCCGGAGCGGAGGAGTTCATCGTGCTCATCCATCTTGCTTTTACGCTCTGTGTATCTCTTGCCGTCGTCGTCTTTTCCGCTACATGCCGAAGTGTTGTGTCGGATCTCTTTGGTGAATCTTTCGCTTTGGCTAGTCGCCCTTCTACCCGCTTGTGTCGTTGCAGCCCATTCGATGTCAAGAAAGGCAAGATTCCCACGAAGGGGGGGGCCTTTTGAGGCCTCTTAAAGTCTTGAACCCAAGCGGTAGTATGCATTCTCCTGGGTCTAGACATGAACTTGCCGCTTGTTGCAGACCTTCACGGCACTTCCAATGTCGAATCCTTGCCTCGTGCGCCCGTCGCCGCTCAGGCGTCGGGCCCAAAGAGGTCGCCGGTGAGCCTCGGAGCAAGGCTGAAAACACAGAACAAAAAGGCGTGTCTGCAGGAGGAAGGTTAGGGTTTGTTGAGATATCCTCGGTCCCCAATTTCGGTGCTTGGTGCTGGCATGAAACATGACCTTGCCGGCCTAATTACACACTATGTCCAGATGCACAAGAAAAGTCGCACCAGTGCGAGCTCCTGCCCTTTGATGCCACGGACGGCAAACCGAAAGAAGCAAGGCATCGTAGGAGCACCACCGCAGCTCTTCCGTCGGCCTTGAGGGCTCCGACCTCTGCAGTCCGAGGAGCGATGGCTACTGTCCCTGCATGGTCACCGCCCCGGCTCTGGCACTGCCTCTACATTCAGGTACGTCATCTTGCTGGCCTTGCTTCCGAGCGTCTGGCCTGGAGTACTGAGTTTGTGACCTTCCACACTCCGCGTGCCTGAGCTTTTATCACATGACGGATCGTCATCGGATTGTGGCGGTGCCTTAAGCTGCCCCGCCCTCTGTCCTTCTCCGTGCTGGGGAACCCGACCCCATGGGCTTTGTGCACGCGCCAGGTTCGATCGATCCTCGCACTGGGTGAGGTTAGGAGAGACCTCACCCTACGGGGTGTGGTAAGTTTGGGCAAAATCCAGGCGCTTCCAGGCACTGCAATGGCGGCCCTCGCAAGTTCAAGGCAGCGTGCCCTCTCGTCCTCCACTTCTCCAAGCAGTTTACGTCGAGCAGCACCACGAAGAGCAGAGCGCAGCCTGACCGTTCCTGCATTCTCAAGCCAGTATGACCAGCAGACCAGCAGCAAAATTTACGACTCAATTAGTCGTTGAAATGTGGCCACAGTTTCGGCTAGTTACTCTATCAGTGTGGCTTCAGCAGTGGTCTCGTACGTCCGAATGCTGCTCAGCTCATGGTCTTTTGAAGCCTCATGCCAGCTTCCTGAGCTCAGATCGCTGCCTGGACAGCCGCCGACCGTTGCGTCAGGTGCCGGGACTTTCTTCGAGCACCTTTCAGACAGGTGACTAAGGCACCTCTCTAAGCCACACGAACACTCAGGCAGCATCTTGAGCAAATCCTGGACTCACCAAAACAAGCCAAGTCATTCCCGACGAAAGCAAAGTCGCCCTGGGACGACTGAATTTCCTAGAGATGATCCGAAGCTGGATTCTTCTTATCCGCAGCTGCTGAGAGGCATTTGCTCGGCCAGGACTTCCTCTGCGAGGCCAACCTGCGAAGTCTGAGGCTATCGACTCTTGCATTGGGTCTAGGCCTCGGTACTGCCATACCGGAAAGGTCGGGCCACGCAAGCCGTCTGACTTTTCGGGGAGTTCCACATATTGGCAACCACCCTGCCTTCGGCAAAAGCACAGGCAGCGCCTGACACTCCTGCAATCAGAGTGGTCAGGGTCATCTGTACCACTGGGGGATTCTAGGTCTGAGAGTAGTGTAGCTTTTGGAGACCTTATAACACCGCTCGACCTTTCAAATTCTCCTGCAAAATTCTAATCGCAACACAATGACGTTCTTGTGCTGCACAAAGGCTTCCCCAATCTGCACATGCCCAGTGATCACCCTCCATCCAAGCCCTCTTGGCACAACACTTCCTCGCTGCCCCTATCAGCCACTCGAGGCTCTCTGTGAGCTCATACTGCATCGTTCATTGGCAGCTTTACCTACTACAGGGTATGCTCACTTTGGACCTCAGCGACCAGACATGTTCGGGCAATCTTGATTGTTCCATCAGATCTACGTAGACCAGGATCCAGTTGCTGACCACGCCACCGGGCAAGCGAACATGATACGCCACGCTGAACCCACCCAAGACGAATCGAAGAGCTGAGCTCATCATGAAGACACGAAACAAACGGCACAACGGCTCAAGAGCTGCCGCACATTTTCAAAGGCCTACATGAACCCCAAACTCCAGACCCAATCCATCAAACTCAAACTCTTATAATCATGTGCATGCAGCTTCAAGCGATCCTCTGTTTTCACTTCTCCGCTCGCTGGTCTCACTCCGACGGCCCACTAATGCATTGGTTTCACTGGGCCCAGTGCAGACCCTCCAATCGTGGAAGCCGACGGCTCGCACGACTGAAGGTTAGCCCGTATGCTGGTGCAGTACTCTGCTCCAGCCTCCTCAGAAGACACCTCAAAAGGGAGGGCTGGGCAGGGAAAAAGCACGGAGGCCCTATGCCTCTGAGGCGCAATGCCTCCTCGAGGCACAATGCCTCTCAAGCTCAAAGGCTTCCGCAAGCCTGCTCAAGCCTAGATGGCTGAAGTGAAGCAATGATTATAACTGCAGCCGACCCTTCCCAACCATCCATACTGGACTGCAAGTGCATAATCATGTGCATGCAGCTTCAAGCGATCCTCTGTTTTCACTTCTCCGCTCGCTGGTCTCACTCCGACGGCCCACTAATGCATTGGTTTCACTGGGCCCAGTGCAGACCCTCCAATCGTGGAAGCCGACGGCTCGCACGACTGAAGGTTAGCCCAATGTATCTCGTGGTCCCAATGCATAAGTGAGCCTATCGCTGAGAGAAGCGGCACACCTTGAAGCTCCTGCAGTGGCACGCATGCCAACTCGCCGAGCTTCCACGGTTGAGTTTGTGTCCACTTGTCACACAGGCCATCTCTGCTCAATCCATCGGAAACGTTAGCTTCAGAAGGTATGTACTCGATCCACACTCGGGCAGATATGGATGCCCATGCCAAGTGACACAAGGAGACGATCACGGAAATGTCATCACATGCACTCGAGCCCCGGACCAGTGCAGCACAAATCGCTTGGTTATCAATAAACCAAATGATATCACGATTGCACAACTGCTCACGGAATGCAATCGTCGCCCATAAGACCGCTAAGGCCTCAAGCGGAGCGATCTGTTGGTCGCGCTCTTGAAGTGCGGCTAACACCTGCTCTGGGACCGTACCTGCTACACCTCTGGTGACGGGATCGTCTCGCTGCATACAGACAGCTCCTAACCCAGGGTGCTTCATGAGGCCCGGTTCAAAGGATGCATCAGTATACACGATCACAACGTTGGACGCAGCAGGTGACAAGGGTATCTCTCGGGGAGACACGACTTCCAAAAGAGCAAGCATGAACTTGAGGCAAGCAACAAGCTCCGGTGTGAGTGCATCTGAGTCCTCATACTGGCGCCGGACCAGAGGGCCTTGGCCGCCTCGTGCCACTCGGCCATACATCGCCGAACTAGCCCATTGGAACCTGCCTCGCAGTTTCGAAGCCTGGCCGGATGACAACGACCCTTGCTCAAGGATACTCTCAATCTCAAGTTGCAAGGCCTCACGCAATCCCGGCTTCAAGTCCACGTACATTGTCAAGGATTCGGCTATGCCAGCAAGATTGAGCAAGACTCCGAGGAAGCAACGTTGGCAAGCCATGGGTTGCTGCTTCAGTGCGTCCAAAACCGCACCCAAACAAGTGTACACTGCCCAAACACACTCCTGGCCTGAACCCCTATTGCATGCTAGGTCAAAGACGCCGGTGTCATCAAAATAAGCCGCGGATGCTGTTGCCATGCACTGGCGCGTAATGGCTGTGGCCAGTGCCGGGAGGCGGTTAAAGTTAAGCACAGCTGATGCCAAACCGAAAGGGTGCGCCCGCATAATAGCGTAGCGAATGTCACGAGCTTCCGGGTGCCAAAGTCCAATCACTAAGCCCGGGGCCTCCTGCGGTTTATTTGGCATTTGCCTATATGCCCACGCCATATCATCTGTGCCAAACATGGGAACCAACCAGGCTGGGGGAACACGAAATTGCTGCCCTGCCAAGCGCATTAGTTCCCTGGCAGCTGCGGCTGCAAAATCAGGCGTGTTAGTGATGATTGTCTCCTCCGCCCACGCAAGGTCGTTATGACCTGCACTGCGGCCGTTATCAATCGGGCGCTGCTTACCACACGCCTGGACATGCATGAATCGCTGCATCGGCAACCACCTGTGCCTGCCAAAGGCACTATCCAGCTCAGCACGTGTGTACAAGCCGTCGGCCCAACCTTTATCCACCTCTTGCAATGTGTGCTGCAAAAGCTCCTGTGCATAAATGGCCTGCGGCAATCGGCGCTCCAAGTGTGCAATCGCTGCTGGGGCTTTAGCCTGGATAGCTGATGCAAGGCACGGGGGGTCAGGCGAGTCAGGCAGAACAGGCCTAAACATCCCCGGGGCCTCGATGCGACCTAGCAGCGAAAAACCCTCAACAAACCGCAAACCAATGGACTTATCTGGCCACTGTAGTAACACCGCCATGGCCGTCATCATCGCGGGGCACTTTCCTGCTGCTACCTTAGCCACTGGCGTCGGCATAGCAGCTCTTAACAACTGCTCCCATGGCATAAGAGCGCCTGCCAAGATCTTCATCGCCCTCAATTGGATTCGCCTCCAAGTACGAAGACACGGTCCGAGTGCCACCATGGCCCTCAACGCGAAGGCTGCGTCCGGATCAAGGACTGCACAAGTGTCAAACGGTGATGGCAAGCAACTGCTTAACGCCATATGTGCTTCCTTGCCAATCCCAGGCGGTACAAGCGGATTCAATGCAAACTTTGAAGTTGGTCCACCTCTCTGGCACCCTAGCGCCGATGCCGCCTGTGCAACATTTCTCTGTTGAGCCCACTTCGGTGCCCCTATGTCTTGAGGCAGCCCACGCAAATGACAATCGGCCTGGAAGACTTGCAACCTCCTCACGGCATGACGCAGCTTCGCCGTGACAGGCAAGTCAGGCAAGGCAACTCCAAGTGAAGAGATCTGGGTTCGAACATCCCTCATTAAGCACTCTGGTTGCATCAAGAATGGACAAGATTCCAGCATGCCTGGTTGGAAAATAGAACCCTGCACCTGTCCCCTCAAGCATCGCTCAAAAGCTGCATATCTCGGTGGAGGGATACCCGTCGTGACGGTCAGCAACTGAAACAGCAACACCAGCGCAAGCATAATGGACGGCACGTGGAAGGAATTGCCAACTAAGGATGCCCTGGCGCATTCCCGCTGCACAAGGCTCCATTCCTGCGCCGGATCCACCCACTGCAGCATGGAACTCGGAATCGCCATGATTTCAGCTCTTTCGGCCGCCTTGACCTGCCTCCATGACTCGTCCTTCCATAGCAATGAAGAGGTCTCGGATGCAAATGCTGGGAAGGTGCGGCCGTCTTGCTGGTACCTGCGCACTGCTGCTGGCGAAGCCTGAACATCTGGGCAACTCGGATGATCAAAAGCTTGCGTGAATGTGGCAAAGGCAGAAACCGGGCTCACTTCGCCAATATTCTGTCGAGGATCAAAGGTAGCCCGAAACTTATCCTGGAAAATGACATTTTCAGGGAACGGCTTCTTACCAGCCCACACCGCATGCCATCGGCCCTGCTCATCCTGCTCCAGCTTGGCGAGCTTCGGTGGTTTAGGGTGCATCGCAGACAATGCCCTGTCCCCCAGTGCACCCCAGAAGCACCTAGTGCGCCTAACCCAACCGAAAGAACCAGCATGGACCGTCACAGGCGGCCCACTCATTGCTTCGTCAATGGCTCGCTGCACTTGCCACGGGCCGTGGCTCACATTCTCAAGCAACTGCAACACTGGGCGCGTCATGCCCAACTCAGCCACCAAGGACTCACACTCCTTTGCCAGCCGCGGGATGTGCTGGAACATAAGAGTGCGCTCCGACTGCATGCCACGCCTCTGCTTATGCAACACACTGATGTCCTGACATGGGCTGCCACCTGCCACCAGGATTGCCGCAAATCGGGTTGCTACCAACATGGGCTTGAGCTCCCTGGCAGTAAAGGTCACCGCGTCTCGAAAGTGAATCACATTGCGAAATGACGCCCTGCAGACCCCTGAAGCCATCGCACAACTCTCAACAGCAACTGCCTTGAACGACAAGCCTAAGGCGAGAAGTGCAACAAGGAGGGCCCCAATCCCATCAAATAAGGAAATTACAAGGACCGGTCCCACATGATGTAAAGACCATGGCAGCTGAGGCAACGGGGACACCCCCGTGTAGTACACGAAGTCCGTTGGTGAGTGGGCGTCACCATCGGGCAGCACAAACCCAGGCTCACCTGGCCAAGCTTCACCTGCCTCCCTACGGCTTCGGGCGATTTTACAAGCAGACTGCAAGCTGACACTCCGAGCAAAGGCCGACAGGCGATACCTTTGCCCCGCACTGGCATCTGATACCTGGGGTCGTGACAAAATGACACGCTCTCCAGCCATTGATGCCTCCGCCTGAACGGAGACTGCTGACTCGACTCTGCCCGGCAAGCCCTGGCTCTCATCAGAAATGACACGCCTGGCCTCACCCTGACACTGAACCTGACCTTCCACGTCAGGGCGGCCCTCGCCCTAGCGATGCGGGCATGACAGACGATTGTGTGTCGTTGAGCCGCAGGGCTTGTTGCTCGCCAACAACACATCGCATCCGTGGAAATCCGGACAGTCCTGTTTGGAACATCCCCGATTGTCGTTCCACTTCTTACATAATGTCTTTCCCCGGATCTCCCTGGCCGTACGCGGCTTCTTAGCACTCCCAGACTCCTGAGCATCAGGCGAAATGGCCAGCTCGGGCTCGGTCCGCTTCTGCAACACAGCACGATGCGGGGGCTGCAACCACATGAGCTCCTGCTCCTGGTAAGCTCGCTCAAAGGCCTCTCCGAGTGGCCACTGCTGGCGACTGAGCTCCACCACACGCGCTCGAGATTGCTCATCTCGCTGCTTCATCCATTCGACACCCGCCTGGAAGTCTGTAGCATGACGCAATGCCGCATCGCAGTAGTTGAGGAGGGATGCCAACGGAGCCATATACACCTTAGCGCCCGCCGTAACCTTGGACTCCACGAGAAAAGTCCCAGCCACCGAATACGCATTCATGAGCACCCTGAGTCTCTGGTAATACTCCGCGACTGACTGGGCTGCTCGGCTCTCATCATCCTGCCGCAACTGCAACTTGGCCGACCCCAAATCAATGAACTTGTCGTGCTTGGGCCTGTTCACCGCGAACAATGACTTCACCTTATCGATAGCAATGACCGTCAACGTTCCCCTCTGGATCTCTCTCCACACACGACCCAACAAGGAATCCCCTGGAGCCATATGCACTGGCAACTCCAGGTTATAGCGTTTCCCCCATTGCTCCATGAGGCTCTCTTGGGTAGCCGAGTCCAATGGATCATCTAGATCATCTACGGACTGGCCCTGCTGAAGCTTCGACTCTGCACGCAAAAGCGCTGCCCTGGCCTGCCGCCATGCAGCTCGAAGCCTAGACAACAAAAGCGCTTTATTAGCTGCCGCCTTCGTGTGATCACAAACCTGGATGATCGTGGTATCCAGCTCCGCTTCATAGCCACTGATCGTGACTATGTTGACAAAATCACTCAAAGTCTCGATGCCGAGGACAGACTCACACCACTGGATAAGCTCAGACGGCAGTTTCTGCTCTTCCAGGCACCTACGGAACTCGCCAACCTTAGCCATGGCAGCACACAGGGTCCCTACGGCTGTACACTAGGAGCACTGGCCACGGTGGCTTGCGCAACGCAAAAGCTCACAAAGACACAAGCAGTGGCCACGTCGCTAAGGTGCACAGCCCAAGCACAATGCAAGAAGGCTCACCCACGACTCATTTATACTCCCTCCGCACATGCTGCAAGGTCAGCCTGCCCTGTTGCATTTAGTGCACGTGTGGTGCGTATGCATGGGCTTGCTACGGTTACAGGTACCATACCAGCATTCCTGGCACGGCAAACCGCAGCGATACCCCTGCCTACGAGCACTCTCTCCCTGGCTCGTCTCATGCTGCTGGGGGGTCGGTGTGCTCTGGCTAGACGATGCCGCAGCCTCCGTGGCCGCACGGTCCTCAGTCTCCAGCTCATCCAGGACTCGCCGTACAAGTCGCCGCCATTCCTCCGGCATAACTCGCAGCGCTTCCTTCAAGTCGGCCAAAGGAGCAATGATCATCTCCTGACCTGCCCCTGCCATGGCTACCCGATGAGAAGCAGTAGGGCCTTGCACTAGCAGCACACCAAAAGGCTACCACGTACAAACACGACCAACAGCTCCCAGCTCGCAAGTGCATGACAGATCACGCGCAGCACTAAATTTCTCAACGTTTTCACAGCTGCGCACAAGCATCCCTCCATGCTAAAGGCATCCTAGCCCAACACTTACGGCAGAGCTCACCTACATCTTCTATACCGGCACCTCTGGCAAAATGCATCGAATCAAATGTGCCATCTCTACACCACGGGATCAACCTAGAGCCCTTGTGCTCCTGCACCAAATGCTTCTGGCCCGTGGCCGACTGGACAAACCATGGTAGCTCACTCGCCGTAAGCATGCATTCATCTAGCGACGCCTCCGAGTCCGAAGACGACGAGGATGAAGCATCAGAACTCTCCTGACCTTGCTTCTGACTTGGTGCTGATGACCCTCCGTCCGCTGCAACCCGGCCAGACTCCAACAACTGATTGACATGCTCATAAATGACATCCCGCGGCGGCACGTGCAATCTAATATCTTGCCAAGTACACAATGCAGGCTGCGACGACTTCAGCATGGCTTGGTGCAAGGAAACAACGACCTGAGCTTTGATGTGGGCCGCCGACGCAACCTGATCATCTGCATATCGTTGCGCCATTCCCACTGCCGATTTAGGCTTAGCCGGTGCCGCTGCAGCCGTGGTCGGTATCTCCGCCCAATTCCCGAGGGCTTGGCACTCATGAGGCGCGAAATGCATAACTTCAGCAGCCGTTGGCATAAATCTGCGCAAGCTATATGAAGAAAGTTTCTCGGCTTCCTCCGGCTTTGCCCCTAGCCCTAAGCCTACAGACCTAAGCAAGGCATTAAACTTAGGCAGCTGCATGGGCTTCGCAACCTTTGGTGTATCTGCACACAGCTGTTCTCCCGGCGGTACCGCCAAGTCCTGAACCAGAAATGTCGGAGGTGCCTGGAGTTCCCGTTCCAGCTCAGCCCAATCCAGCAAGAGCTGCCGAGACAAGTCGATTGTCTGGGTCACCTGGGCAGGCAGCGCCCATTCAAAGGGTGGATATCGTCCCTGCACTCGCCGTTTGCCCCTTGCACAAATCGCGCGCAAGAAGCCGTCTTGAAGACGCAAGGAATGTGACCTTTTACTGTGTGCAAAACGCAAGCACGAAATCAAGAGAACCACCGCCCATGTAAGGAATGAAGCAACTGACCCGTTAGCCGTCCTAAGCGCTCGAAGCATTGCCCAAAACAACGCCAGCGCAAGCGGTGTACGTGGCTGCACCACATGGTCATTCACAGGTGATGCCCAAGCTTCAACCAAACCATCCGAAATGGGCAAAGGCAAACCAACAACCGAAACCCACCATTTACAGGACGAGTAAACCTGAGGCGATGCCGTTGGTCCTCCATGGCTAACATGTTCAAGGAATCTCGCCAACCAGATTGGCGAAGGCTTCCAATACATCACCTCAGCTGGCACATGTGTCGCATGCCATCTGATCCATCACCGCAACGTGCTAATGTGTGCCCGCAGCCGCTCCTCTGGGAAATTACGAAAACGGGCCGCAAAGAGGTCGAAAGTCTCAAGCGGATTCCCCCACACATCTCTGCCGAACACTCGATTGTCTGACGCCGACGCCACAACCACCTCCAAAATAACCTTAAGGAGGGCAACCCGAGCATCCTGGATAACCGGCTGCACCCGCAATGGTTTAGCCGCATAGTCAGCTCGAAACGGCTTTGGCATTAAGGCAGCAGGGGGCTTACTCCTAGCCTTCGGCCGAAGGCCCGGGCCAACCTGCACAGGGAACCCTTGGGCTTGGGGCCTATCCAATTTACGACACTTAGCAGGCTGAGTCTGCAGATCAACTTCGGATCGAATACGCGCAATCTTCCAAGCCTGCGTAATCTTTGTCAAGACTGCCTGATCCGATATCACGTCAAAGATCTGTTCTTCCGATGTGAAGTAACATGCCAAATCAGATGTGCTCTCTATGCCACATGACTGCAGGAATGCAGCACTCGCAGGATCAAGAGCAGCCGCAACTGCTGGATGCAACGACATGTGTGCACGGCCTACTCTCCTCCTGCAGGCTGCCAAAAAGCACGGAGGCCCTATGCCTCTGAGGCGCAATGCCTCCTCGAGGCACAATGCCTCTCAAGCTCAAAGGCTTCCGCAAGCCTGCTCAAGCCTAGATGGCTTGAGCCAAAATTTTCAAAGGCCTACATGAACCCCAAACTCCAGACCCAATCCATCAAACTCAAACTCTTAAACCCGAAACGTCGGGCGAGTCTTGCAGGAAACTGCCCCCTTTCACCCTCCCACACATTGCCCAGGATCACAATCCTGGCGCAGATCTTGGTGTGCACGTGGAGAATCTTCATCGGGTGGCTGTGGCTTCTCACAGGACTCCAGGCTGCCAAAGACAGTCAAGTAGTCGATCCCGTCGCTGCTTCTGTGGTCCTACAGGTCTGCTCCAACTGAGCGGAATCGACACTGAAAGCCCCCACTTTCTGCAGCGTCTGCTTTCAGCTTCCCTCCTGCAACCTGGAAATATCGGCGTGCTGCTCCGACACCTGAACAAGGCTGGGCAGCACGATCACACTGCGCTCAAAACAAACGAGCCCTGCGAACTATCTCTCACTAGGGCCTTCCGTCGCCAGGCTGCTTGTAGCCATTGGACTGCCCACTGGAGCTTCATCAGTCGGCGTCGGTCCTGCAGGCTTGATTCTCGACTTCGTGGTGGCTAAATTAACCGTACACCACCATGCTCGTCAGGCACCTCTCTTTATGCTACCCACTCGCTGAAACCGGCATGCCCTAGAAGACCCCCTTCACAGCGCACGCATGCCCCTATACCAGAATGCCAGACTTCCCCCGCACGAGGCCGGGCCCCACAAGTCCCCCCTGTACCACGCTGCCACGCCCCAACTTTCACCGTAGCCGTCGTAGCGTTGTGCGTCTGAGCTCCGATGACCAAGTGCTCACCTCAAACCTGCAAGTGAGGTGTAAGAGCCCGAAGGTCCTCACCGCCTTGCTTCCAGGCTCGCCACCGCACGGCCAGGACGGCAGCGGCGCGGTGCCGCACGGCTCGCACCTGCCAAGCGATGGACGGCCGGAAGGCTCTTAACCGAGAGAGCGCGTTCCTATGGCCCATGGCTGCCCAAATACTACTACGGGAACACACCTTGGAATGCCTTTAGCAACCAGCTTTATGCAAGAATCTGATGACAGCAAGCCAACCTACAAGTAGCTAGCTTCGTGTGGGTGCTGGATGATGCACAGCAGAACTCAGTCGAACCCGCCGCAGAAGGGAAGTGCCCATGTTGGGTCAGTCAGATAATGACAGCACAGATGCGCCTGCGTACCACGCCACCAAGCCTGATCCCACACAAGATTCGCTGATGGCAAGCATGTCCTTTTTTCAGAAGTCCTGAAACGAGCTGTTCTCATGCACTGATTTCCCACGAGTTTCAGAACCCCATGCCAAAGCCGATCTTCCTCTGGAAATAAGCCTACCGCATTCATGAGCACCTGCAGAAAAACAGCGGCATTCACGGCCACCGGATGCCTCAAGACAAAACAATGCATCTTTGAGCATTTGAGTGGCTGAGCCCTGAGGATTTGATGCCTTATCCGCACGAGGTGGGTCTGCAAAAGTAAGCACAGAGCGGCTTTTCAGGCGAAACGCGTGTGGGAGAAGGCGCGGCGCTCCAACCTCTGCGCATTTCGCCACCGGAAGCCTCTGCTTCTGAGGACTCTGGGCGGCCCACTGAAGCGGTGTGCGGGTGGGGACCAACCTGGAGTTCAGACGACGCAAGACAATACGGGATCCGCCGCTCTCGTTGAGATGTCCAGCATTGTCCTAAGCTCGAACTTGTCCTGTTTCTTCAAACTCAACGAATGGCCGGATGGCAGGAACGCAGCATGTCGTGCTGTTCGCCTGCCTGGCGAATCTGATGAGAAACTCCTGGTAGACAAGGTGCTATGCGGAAAGAGAGCGTGAGTCAAATGGGCAACTCCACGAATGCGCTCAATCTGCAAAGAGATGCAAAGAGATGACATCGCGGTCCTCTGCAGGGTCGGTGAAGTCTCTGCACTCGGAGAAGCACCACCTGACGGAAAAATGAATGCAGCAGCAGCCTTCTGCTGCTTGCTGATGAGACGGGCCAACCTTCTGGGCTGGCTTCGGCACTTTCAGACTTTGGAGAGACCTGCCGGGTGCGCCAGCCGGCCGCTAGTCCGCTAGTCTTGCCCTGTTCCCGAAACAGCTTCCTGCTGAGGATTTCTGGCTTTTGTCTTCCCCTGTTGTTGCCTCAGGACTCCACGCCATGCTTCGCCATCGGAATCCTCGACCTCACAAAAGGGCGGCAAGGGCCTATAGGGGTCACCACAACTGCGCTGGTATGCTGTGATATGAGGCCTTCGGCCGAGGCCGGGCTTCCGGAAGCCTGGCATCACGCAGGGACCGCCGCACGCCGCGAAGACTTTTTTCAGCGGTTCTCGGCTTGCGCTGGTCGATCTCTCGGAGCGTCGTCTTGGCGTCTCGACGCCTCGTCCGCTTCGAAGGCAGCAGGGCCAAGTGGCGGCCTCGGGGCCCGGCTCCACGGGTGACGGGCGTTTGCAACGGCGCCTTTCTGCCGCCCAGCGTCGCATGCCACGGGAGGGAGGCGCTCAGAGGCAGCCATGCAGACGAGGAGGGGAGCCTCCAGCAGCTCGTCGCAAGGCTCAAAGCGTCGCAAATTCACATCGCACAAGATTTGTTCTCAAGGGCACATATCAGCTGGATGCAAAGACCTCACTTCTAGTCGCAAGATCTCAGGCCGATGCGACTGCATCTCCGAAGCGAGCAGCTACAGGCCAGCATCACTGATTGGTGTACTTTCACGCTTGCTGTCACGACGCCCAAAACTGAGCATGTCCCTTGCTATGGGATTCTGGGGAAAAGCAGCAAAGCTCGATAGAGACGAAATGCATGTATAGGCTTTGTTAGGAAATTTGAGCCATTGCTCTCGAGAAAGGCCGATGTATTTCGGGGTCTCCAAAATCTCTTGCACCAACGACAGAACAAAAATGGAACGGGACAGAACAGCGATATCTCATGACACAAGCCAGTTAGTTCAGGCACGGAGGAAGTGTGCTAACCTTCCAAATACGAATGGTGAATGCCCAGGCTTGACGAGCCACAACCAACAGATTCTGTTGGTAACGAAGGATCGCTCAAGCCCAATTCGTGATTTAAAAGTTTTGTCTACTGTAGCATGAGAGGTCAGGGATCAGCGGTGGAGATTTTGTTTAAGCTCTGCACTCGCTGAGAGAGTTGCTTCTGGAAGCTGCCAAGCCGGAAGCTTCGTGGTCTAAAGACCCCAAGCACATGTGAAGCAGCACAGCTTCCGCGCCCTGCTGAGCGGTGCCGAAGCTTCGGCCGCTGCACACTCCGTGCGCACGCTCGGGAAGACCTTCGGCCACCCGACATTCAAAAACACCGGCAGGTGGACTGGAAAACCGGCGTTATCCTTCCACCGAAGGCTTAGCCTTCAATGCAGAAGGGAGGGAAATAAAATCTCCAATTCAAGATCGCGCAAACACTCGCCACCACACCGGAAGCTCAAGCTTGCCTGGGTCGTTGCATGGCATGCAACAACGATGCCCTTCAAAACAAGAATCCCCGAAAGCCACCGATCAAAATAAGGGCATCGCGGACATTCGGGCACACCTTGCTTGCATTGAGAGCCAACTCCTTCCAGCTGCAGGGACCGGAATTGAATGTCTAGTCGGTCTTACGTCTTACATGTTCAGAGTGTCTAGCCTAGCGTGTGCTGAGCACCTGTTGGAATCATGAACAGGTGTTCTCGACAGAACAGGTGTCGATCCATCTATCCCGATACAGCTGTTTAGCTGCCGTGTTCATCATGAAACATGTAAACTGGCCTTGTAAGTTTTACCTGCCTACCTGTCTGTCGATCTGCCAGCACGCAGGTACAAACGCACACATACATGCTTATACAAACATGTACATGTTGGCATACCGCTCTCATACATGTACGTAACGAACTCTGCACAGGCAAACACATCCATCCTGAAATTGGCATTCAGTCCTTCGGAGTTGGCGGCCCCAGATGCATGTACCATCACTCCCATCTGTATGCCAGCCAGATGATGGTTACAAGCAGCACGCCTTCAGCTCGTGCAGAATTCGATGCAGGGACGTCACAGAGGAGGACTCAGCATTCAAGCAGCTCTTGCCGCGGGTTCGACCTGAAACACTTTGCGGTCGAAACTTGCAGCCCAGCCGCCGAACAGGTAGAGATAGCCTTGGGGGTCTTTTCGACGCTCACGTGCCAGACAACATCAGACAGCCGGACCATTACAATATCGGGCAAGCACTGAAGATGCCTTTCGATTCAACCTCCAGATGCATGGCTTGTGCTCTTACTTCACGTTCTGACTGCTCAACATGATGTGCAAAAACCTTTTAAACCAAACCTTAACACGACTGTTCGAAGTGCCTTGTACCTAACCGGATGATGACAGGTCTTCTTCTGACGGCTCTCCGTACAACCTTCACTGCTTTCCTCTTTTCTCAGGCTACGATAGAGCCAAGCCAAACCCCTTCACGAGTGGTCCAACTTGCAATCGAAGTGACGGAAAGCAAGGTCAACCTGCATGGGCAATCGACGTGTCGAGGTTTGGTTGGGAGACAAAGGCTGACAAAGCCACACACCGAAGCGTAGTTGCAGTCCAAATCTACAAATCCTGAGTGCCGAATGTCCAGAACTCGCCAATCGTCATGGGGCATGGCCCGGCAAAATGCCGAGTCACCCGATCACTAATACTTCGGACAGCACGGCCTGCAAAGAGGGCGGCTTCTCTGTGTAGCTGATCTTCCAAGCCCTCGGCCCAAAGCGAGGATTAGGTCGGGTGGCATAGTCTGTGGGATTGTTGGAACCACGCGACTTGACAGCGAATAGGTGTAACAAGCAAACCCTTTTTCAATCTTATCGAAAACACTCCCAGTCGGACATGCCGCATGAGTGCTGGGGGCAATCCCGACAAGTCAAGCGGCTTTCCAGGCAGGTATTTCTTGACGTCCAGCAGAAACTTTCGGAAATGAGGTTGCTGGATGTTGTTCCTTTGAGCATTCAGCACGGTGATCTGCTTGTGCAACTGCATCCGACACAGCGATCCTGAAAAATTAAATTGCACATCCCTGTTGTTGCAGACCGAGACTCCCTTCTGCCCCCAGGCGCATAAACATCTCCTGAACTTGACCCTTCGAAAGATACCTCAGGGCCAGGAAGGCGCCCGTGTCTCCGTAGGATCTCCAGGCTCAGGATTGTGCTTGGGACAGTCATGTCACCCGACCGTTCCAGCCAAAGTAGAGCACACTTCCATCACTTCGGCACTGCATTGCAATGCATGCATGGCACTGCAGACTGCAGCTTGTGCTTCGAAGCTTCATCACCAATATCTGAGCTTGGCTTGCTGACTGGCGGCTGCCCAAGCTTTCGGAGCCCTTTTTGAACTTCTGTTATGCTGAGGTCAGCGTCGCCATCCTGGCATGCTTCCGTGCCGACGCTTAGGTTGAGACTCAAGACATGCTGGGCGCTGCGCAGGCCACGGCACAGGGCACGGGACTCAAGCTGTCGTGCCACCCATAGTCTTCACATTACGGAAAATCCAAGGCAGGGTCCGAGTCGAAGAGCTTGAAGACGGCTGTCATGTCCGGCAAAGGCACTTGGCCTCTTCAGCCCAGAGATGCTCCCCATGCCACAGAACTCCAAGTGCGGTCGAGATGCCATCCGCCGGTATCAGCATACCTCAGAAGAGTCCCGCCAAAACCCCACGACATCCCATGACGCCCCCATGACATCCTTTGGCTCCCACTTGGCTGGCTCTTTGGTGGCGTCGGTACTACTACCTCGCAACAAGAACAACTGCAGGTCGAGAGAACACCTTCAATGGCGCTTTCATGCGTAGTCGGCCTGGTTCTTGCGGTGGCGGGAGGCAGACACGGACACGGCCAATGGATCCTCCCAAGTTGAGCTTGGCTCTTCAGCGCCGATGGGTGATTTGGGATGCGCCCGAAGCAAAACTGCACAGTAGCTTTGGAAGCTGTACTAGAATCTCTAGTCGGCATAGTCAGCCGGAAGCATTTGTACCAAGAATCAGCGCGGCTTTGTAATGGAGGAGCGAGCGTCGACTCTGCCAGGCACATGCAGACTTGAACTGAAGCACTTCTTTCCGGCGGTCAACTACAGCCTGTGCAAATGTGTCAGGCATAAAAGCGGCTCCGTGTTGTGGAACTCCGGTTCTGCAATGGCTCCCTGCATCAGTCGGATTGATGACCAGTGGTTCCAAAGGTCGCTGCGTTTGCGTTATGCTGCAACTCCAGTCCTTCTTGCACAAAAACGTTCTCCCAATGCAGACCTTCTGAATCCCATCTTGCCTCTTGGTCTGCAGATCGCTTGTTGATGATAGTACTCATCTGCGTCAATGCCTCTAATCCCGGCAGTCTGGTCTTGCAGCCGAATGTATGGAATCGCAAGGGGTTTTACTCATGACGGTGTAGATGCAACTTGTCAACACGATGCGCATGAAAGTTTCATTGTCATCTGTCATCTGTCTGGTGCATTTGGGTTTCAGTGGGGATGTGCAGCCCGGGAACTTCAAATTGACGATCTCTTTCGCCCTCGACCTGATGTCAGTCATGATAGCATACAGCTGCCAGTATTTTCAGCGCATGTCTCGGCCTGCCTGCAGCAGCAGCCACACAAGGCCGTACTCAAAGACACAAGACAAGCCGAACCTGAGATATGTTTCGCTCGCACGGCCCGGACATCCAAACATAAGCGCAGTCATTCTGCAGCTTCATCACGAAGAGGAAGCTCGTCAGCCAGGTCAAGTAATTCAACTCGGGCCTCGTCATTCGTCAAGATTTTCCAACCCTTCGTCTCACCGCCCAGTCTGTCATACACGAAGCAAACGGCCAAGGAGAGGGCAGCCTTGATGTAACCTGAGTGGCTCGCTCAAGCAACTTCCAGAGATTAGGATCGGCACGGGGGTCGCTCCCTCGACGAGAAGCACTGTTCTCCAGGTTGAGCATGATCAACACGGGGATCACTGCGATGGTGACTCGAGCTGGCGCCACCTTCCGATCGATGAACCTTCACAGCCCCAAGCAGGAAGCTCACAGCAAGAAGTACTGATCAAGAAGTCCCATCCTGAGAATGTCTCAACTGAGAGCCAGGCAGGCCGGCCCAGGCAACGAGGACAAACCTTGGGGCCGTGCTCTGACTACCGACCGACCCTTCTGGAGCACCAGCGACGGCCAAGCAGCAAAATGGCAGTGCCTGAGAAACATATACTCAAGTTCGCCGACTCGCCTCGTGCCTACTGCCTGGATCCAACCCGGCCTACGACGAACATCAGGAAGGAGTTCGGTCGGCGATTCAGATTGAAGTACACCCAGATGTACTTGTAGCCTTGGTGCCAAAGGAGCGACTTCGCAGGGCCCGGTTTGACAGCGCTTCTCACGCATGCTCACACATCCTCTGCAACAGAACTCACAAGGATGCTGGCCTTTGCGGTCAGCTCCTGCTCCAAACCACTCGGTTGTGACCTCATATGTTGCCTGCACTGACAGCCCGACACTGTCGACGGTGTCAGCAACCTTTTTGCAGCTCCGGGCGTGCCTCCTCCATTAGCCACTCGGTCGTCCCGTCGTACCTCAACTTGCAGATAAAGGCAGCATCACCCCTGTCGATCCAGAAGCGCATGCCAACTGTGAAAGCTCGTCTTGCTCGCTCTAACTTCGTGTGCAAGTCGGTCTGGCACTGCCACATTCAGAAGACAAGGAGCCCTTCAGGCACGACCACTGCACCGTTGCTGAATGCAGAGGCGTTTACCTAAGTTGCTGCCATGTGCCTTTTCATTTTTCGCAAGGTCAAGACCCGAAGTCTTCATCAGATGTGACAGGCTGGATACCGTCTCTCTTTGCCTTTGCTGAAATATCTTTATGCCGGACCTGCAGGCCTACGTCCGAAAGATTTCGGAATGCATCCTGCGGATTTGTAGATTGGGCTCAATGCAGCTCAGTTACATTGTGAAGGTCCCAGGAGTAGGATCCCAAAAGGGCGAAGCACCGTTGCTTGTCGAAAGGCAAGCGCTGGAAATCTGGGTTAGCGCTCAGACTGGAGCAGATAACTGCCACAAGACATCTCCAACTGACGCATCCGAGCCACTCATGGGGCAACGCAGTGTTTGCTTGTAGCCTTAGATGTCTGCGCTGCCGAAGCGTAGCACATGACAGTGGCGTGAAGTCAACGAATAAGCAATGATGCCCATGCAAGAGCACACAACGACCATGAGAAACTGCAAAGTCATGAATACCTCTGCTCGGTGGTTTGTCAGCGACACCTCCCTTCTTTGCATCGCTGCGGAACGCACAGACCGATAAATCCGTCCATCTTCGTAGATGTTCATGGCTCCAGTGCCATACCATTCCGCCAGCGAGTTGTCCTGGGCTGTTTGTTTTCTATGCGACGAAGAAGCCTTGTCAGCCGAGTACAGGCATGACATGCAGGCAGGAGGCCCAGTAAATGTCCGGCTGCCAAACGCTCGGCACGGGCAGTTCGAGAATCATGGTCGAAGCGCAGGGGTCGCCTTCTGCGCAAGTTCTCGCTTACCGTCATTATCTGACCGTGGCAGAGTAATCGTCCCCTTTTTCAAGCCAGTTTTTGCCTTTCCGGATTGTCTTCTTCTTGGAACTAGACGCCATTCCCTAGAGTGCGTCGCCGATCCACATCATGTGTATCCTCTCGGTACTTCAACGACGGACTTTGTGCAGAATCAAGCTACGATATATAGTGTAATTGTAGTCATTTGCTGCTGACGTGGTGACTGGTGACTACTGCTGGCCGAATCCTAACCTCCCGAACCTTCACGCAAGAAGATTGCTCTTCTTCCAGCTCCACAGCAACGACTGAAAGTGCCTCTTGGGACCGCTGCCCTCTGCCCTCTGCGCCCCACCCTGCCCTGCCCTGCATGGTATATACGTCTTGCAATTCCCGAGCCTATCAGAACCGAGGTTACTTGGGCCGCTTGGGCCCCCGGCCTGTCGTCGCCAATCGGTTGTCTGTCCAGTCTAACCGGAAATACCTTGCCATGCCCAAGGCCCAAGACGCTGAGTCTACGGCTTCGTGAACGCGGCACGCAGACTCGTTACAGGCATCAGCCCTGCTAACATGCACGTCCTGCAGGCTTTCATCTTGTGGTGTGTCGCTGGCTGCCATAAGGGCCCGGCCCCTCGATGACAAATTGCTGCTTCTTCTGATCAACCTGCAAGCAATGCGCACACTGCGCGCGATCCCCGAAAACAGCATCCGCAGCCTCTGGAATCGCAGCCAGGTATAGCTGGACTCCAACATCGACAGGTCGCCCAAGATCCCTGCGAGCACAGCACGATGCCAAGGCCACCTCCAGGTCATCAACAACCTCTGAGGTCCATGCAAGTTGGGCCTCGCCGTCTTGTCCTCGGCTCGCGGAATCTCATGGTTTCCAATATCGACCCTTCAATGCAGCAGAGAGCAAAAGCAAGGTTGTCAGCGACGCGTGGGTCAAACACTATCAGGGTCTCGATTACATTGGGTTCCCGCGCAGGCATTTACTTCAAGCCGGCCGGTGCCAACCCGAAACACGAGGGTCCTTTGAAGCTTCTCCTAGCCAGACCGCATGGAAGGTCAGGCCGTCAGGATCCCAAACGAAGGCGAGACAATCGCAAAATTCCAAACTGAAACTGGAACCGCGAACTAAAGGCCTCAAGGAATGGTGCTATAGCTGCTAAGGGAAGCTGCCAAAAGCTGAGAAGAAGCTTTCCAATGACACAGAATCTCTCAAGGAACCGGAAGAACGCAACTTGGAACGTGGTGAAAAGCCAAGAGATGCAAAGACTGCAGAGGATGCTGTACCACGTTTCGAAACACTCACGGTGCATTTGCTATTGCTATGGCCACATGGGCATGTGCCATTACTGAAAATACAAACCGCATTCCTGCGATCGTTTTTGCTCTGTCGCACACTGAACAGGCTTCAGCCAATGGGCACGGATCCTGTGATCTGACCGCCTAACACGTGCCTGAAAAACACATACAAAGCCATTGCAAAGCTCTCAGCTCAAGGCAATCAGCCGCGCGCTGCCCGCATCCGTCGAACCGTCGCACAGTTTTAATAGTTCGGAACATTGCACGGGCACGGCGGACGACGAGGAACACTCAATCCGCTCGACACAAACAGCTCCACGACCCGCCACATGTCCTCTGCCGCTGCCTCGATCGCGGCCGTGCAAAGCAGAATAAGAGCTATCCAGATACCACGAAAACACTTCACTCAACGATCGGCAATCGATCACTTGCGGAGGTAATGAACGGCGGGCCGATAGTTCGATCCACCAGCTTGAAGCAACGTTCTCCACCCATGCCCTCACCCTCTGCCCACAGACTCCCGACACAAGTCAGCCTTAGGGCCTCCTCTGGATTTCAAGAGGAGTGCACTTAGAAACTGGGGTAGTCATTGCTCCGCTGGCCGGCGTTTCCCCTACGCTGTCCGCAACAGTCCTAGATACATGGCCCTGTAGCTCGAAACTTTCGGCCCAGGGATGTAAGCCGGAGGAAATTGATCATATCACGATCAAATCAAGGCTCTGCTGCGAGGGACAATACGTGGAAACTGTTCTGCGTTGATCATCCTCATGCTACTCTTAAACTGCGGTGAGTCTCGTAAGCTGGGAAGGAGGTCAAGTTCTGAAGCTTCGCTGTCGGTGAAGGACCTAGGCAAACTTGAGATGACGACTCGCAGGATAATCATTTTGGAGTGTCATCATGATCACTCGGCACTGCATGAAGTACAAGGGGACGCTACCACTGAACATGCTCAGGTCATTGCAGGGAGCCTGCGCTGCCACAGAGCCTAGCATGCGGTAGTCGGCCATTGTGCATGTCCCTTTGAAGGCGAACGGCTCATTCTCACGAGCTCGCTTGTCCGAGTCTGCCCTAGACTGTGCACGAAGCCATGCAAACGACTGCAGGAACGGAAACCGCTGGCCTCTTACTGCAAAGGCTGCCGACAGCAGCTGCAATAATCTTGCCATGCCAGGCACCAGCATGAAAGAGCTGTGCCATGCAGCTCTTTGGCTCATTGCAAAACCTCTGTGAAGTGGAACGTCCCGTCCCTATCAGCCTTTCGTAGGTAAACGTTCTGCTCCAGCAGCCTGGCTTCCAGACCTTCAAGTTTGGCATTGAATGTGCCTCTACTCTTCTCTCCTTGCTAGGATGTCTGTGATATGTGCTCATGGAGGCACTAGGCGGAGCCAGCATGATTGAAGCGCATGGGAAAGTTCAAGATTGCAAGATTGGAAACATGCAACACCACACGTCAAGAACCTCGGTGCCTGAAGTACGAACAAATTCACTTCGAAATCTCATAATGGGTTGGTATCTGTGGCTGCATGCGCTATGCTCTTGGCCGGCACTCACTGACAGCTTGCTTCCAAGACCTCCTGGGTCTGCGTCCATTCTTCCAATCGATGCTTCCGGACATGCCTTGCGCATGCACCCCGCGCTATCTCGTCTTTTGCTCTGCACTGGTGTCGGATCATCCCGGGCTCCATCCGAAGGTGTCTGAGCTGTGATTGGAGGTCCGACTACTGGTGTCTGATTGTTGAGGACATCAAACACAGATCACCTGGAACTGAAGGTCGCATGCGACTTCATAACGGGACTCAGGCACCCCTCTTGTCGCTGCAGCTCGTAAGAGATCGTAAGAGGAACCCTGTGGCCCCCGTGGTGTTTCGATGCCCGGTCTAGCGACCGTGCCTTGCCTTGCAATCAAAAGGATTGCATGAGTCCATCTGCCCAGCGTATCCGTTGTGAAACTTGTCGCGGCAGCAGAAACGAAACCAACTTCGACCCTGCACTAGTTCCTACTGGCCTACGCTCAACATACACAAGCTAGCAGCCCGGCCCTCAGTAATTCTTGTTGATCACCAGAGCTTTCTCCTGGCTGATGGGCACTTAAAAACGGGAGACTCGCAGACGGAGACGGGAGCGCGAAGAGCTCCTCGAAGGCAGCCGGAGTCTGTACGGCGAACAAGCAGCAGAAGCCGACGAGGAACACGGCGATCCACAGGGAGCCTTGCGGACAAAACATTTAACCCTTCACGCGTGGCTCAAGCTCGGTTAGCAATTTTTCAGTTGCCATAGGCCATAGCCAAGCCAAAACTGATCCCTACATCCGACGTCCAGACACGAGGGCTCTGTGAGCCGCGCCGATGAGGATGCCGGTAAGGATGTTCGGGGTGATCATGAGCTCCTTCCCCTGCCCAATCAGGCTCCTCTCTCTTTCTTCCTTTAGTTCTGCAGGGCTTAGGGACCCTCAGGCCTTTGGCCCGCCCAACTCCCCAACGTATGATTGAGTGGCTGGTTTTATCTGGTTTTGGGGCTCGAATGACTGCTGCCACAGATCGACGTGGTGCGTTCCAGAACCCCCCTCTCTCTGTCTCTCCGCATTGCCACGAAGAGAGCCAGTCTGTGACTTGCACGTGCCTCATACTTGGAGGCCTCAGGATGCCGTGACTTGGAGTCTGACTCGCAGTCAATGTAGGCGATTGTAGGAACATCAGGAGTTCTTGCATCCTTTGAGGCCCGCACCGTAGTCCTCTGTGCATCTACAGAAGCCAGCAGCAGCAGGACCCAAGAGAGCACTGAAAGTGCCTGTGTCACTGCACGGGACAAGACACATGAACACGCAAACGAATCCTCCAATGTAAACTCTCTCTACCGAGACCGGACGATGGGCTCATCGCACAGGAACGTCAAATGCAACTGATAAAATGATAAAAGAAAGTTCGGACTACATTGCTGGCCTTTCCGCTTACTGCCATGGTCCTTCGGGCCAGAAGCAAAAGACAATTCGACAACCCGTGACTGGTTCTCAATTCTCGAGCACGGCACGTACCACCTCAACAGCCCTTGCATGTCCACGGTCCTGACAAAACCGAGGTTGTGGAGCAATGCCAATCCTGCCTCTTTCCTTCAGCTTGAGCAGTCGGGGTAAGTTGTAGAGCCAAATCAGTGATGCGCTGTGGCAAAAGGCATGCCGCTCTGAGACAGGATTACGAGGTGCCTGCAAGACATGGCATGAGTCGGAGCGCCCTCAACTAGATGTCTTCTGCAGCGCATGCTCAGCTAAGGATACTTCCACAAGCGGTCTACCATGGATCGGTCATGCAAACCTCGCGCACTTGTTGCTTTGGGGGTGCAGGCATTACTCTGAAGGATCGGTCAGCTAAGGTGTATGCTGTGGGCATCGCCTCCGCTGATGGGATCTTCCATTCTCACGCAAGAGCCAACGGAACCAGGAGGAAGGGCATGTCAAGGCTAGCAGCTATGTTAGATCTGTCCGCCTCGTGCGGTTCCCTGGATGGCTCCGAGGCTACGTCTGGATTAACACGAGGGCAGGGCAGAGGCACAAACCCCGGAGCGTCCCCCAAATGGAGTTTGGGCTGTGCCGTGCTGTGCATCCTGAAAGTCCCAAAACTCCCGGGCTCCCTGTCTGAAAGCCTCTGGGGTCAAAGCAACTGCACCTGCGACGCAACTACGAGTGTGCAGCGAATTAGGTTCTGAAACGGGAATCACCGGCGAATGGTGGCAGCGCAGTCCTAGCTCGGATCCTCGAAAATCCTATGTCTATCATAGGGAAACATGCAGTAGTCAAGCTTGTTGATGTTGGAGGTTCTACCACCAGGCACCAGCTCAAATGCAACAAGCAAACTCGCCAGGCAGCCACTCTCTCCACTCCCCGAGCTCATGATACGCGAAGCGCATGTTGCACCAACTGGCCAGAACAAATGGAGCTCACGACGATAGTGCATGTGGCTCCTGAAATACAGTGCTGGGAACGATCCGTCGAGATTGCGGCCGGCAAGCGACAAGCACCTTGTGGCTATGTAATGAATAAATACAAGATCCCCTCGCCCGGGTGCCTGAAGCTAGGACTCCGCACTGCGATGAAAAATCGGGATAACCACTGGCTGTACCATGCGGTGAATGGGTTTTGTGGCAAAGGAGCCTCTTTCAGCACCCGGGGATGCAGGATGGCGGCACGAGCCACGTTTGTGGCTGGGAGGAGCACAGTGAGGGCTCGGCATTTGCAAGTCGATCGAAGCGAAGCAGTATGGTGTCTTTGTTGCAGTCACAGCGTCAGTTGCATCAATGACGTGTACTGGCGAAGTCTAGCAGACTGAGATGCCGCAGAATTCAAGAGTCAGGGAACGAACTTAGACTCGAGTAGTTGCAGAGCGCAAGGCCTCTGAAACCTTCGACGTGGCAGCTCTGTACAGCTTAACCTTTTAGCCCTCATTTTTTCCGCTTTTCTCAGCCCTCGCACCGAAGAACCAAAGCCTGCATGGCAAGGTGCTTGTGCAACGGAAGACCGAGATCTCCAAGACTCTCAAATCGAGTTGTTCGCGTGATGCCCCGCCGGCGTGGGGAGGGCTGCGCACCCAAGCCAGCGCGGCCTGGCACGCAAGCCGCAGACTCCATTTCGTGATGAACGCTTCAGACGTTCTGCCAAGCCTCCAGCGCCCTTTGTCGCGGAGCTGCTGGAGGGCACCTTGCTTTCACTGTCACTTGTTCAGCTCTGCTGTCCATGCCCCTCGTTTGTTTCCTGGCCGTGACAGCCCAAGCTTGACGAAGGCATGTCAGCTGTGACACCTTTTGTCATTGCAAGGTCGCGACGCTTCAGGAGATCGTGCTTAACTTCATTGCTGAGCGGGGGAGCTGCATCGCTGCGGCTGCGACCACCGGATAGTCCTGATGGGTGAAGAGCCGGGAAGGTGCTGTCTTGACTGATGTTGATTGTGTGTCACTGGAGAGTGCTGCAGCTAGAAGGTGAATCATATGGTTGCTTGAAGTGCCAACACGCCCAACAAAAATTACGCTGCAGAACGCTGCGCAAGCAAAGGCCAGCCTTAGCACTGACTACATGACTGCAAGTCTTGCCTTTTTTCAAGTAGCTAAGATCAGGACCCAAACAAGGACTCCCACCGGATCCCACGCTTCCCTACAGTTCGATCCGCCAGCTTTTCTTCGGAAGTGCATTGTTTCCCCAAACTGCACGTCCGCCACGCTTTTCACGAAGAATTACTTCAATTCCGGCCAGCGCACGGGAGGAACAGCGGATGCAAGCATCATCAGGCATCATGCTGGCAGCAGTCGAACTATGCCGACCCTACCCCACCTCACATGTCATTCTTCAATTTTCACGACTTAGGATCCGAGGAAGTTGCGTTGAAGGCTCCAGCAATCAAACACCTAGCTTGCTGTGCTTGCCTTGCCCGCGCTCCAAGTATGGCGTCTCACCAGGTTCGGCCACCTGCCATGGCTCTGCGGGCGTTGATGACTCTCTTCCACATACCCCCACGGAAAAACGAACTCGCATCTGAGGGCGCGAACTGCATCCGACACGTAGACATGCGGCGCAAGATGCACAGAGCTGTTAGGCCTGGCTTGTCGGCTAGTCCTGGGACAATCGCCGATGGTAGCTCTGGGCCCATGCCCAGACAAGTTAAGCATGTCTGCACATGCATCGTTTGCCCGTGGGCCAGATGAGGTCTTGCTTTGTTGCCACCCCCTGCCCCTGCCCGTTTTGTGGGCAAAGTGTTCATGCGCGGAGAATTTCAATTCTGATCTCGAGTGCAATTTTCCACCTCCAGCCCTCTTCCTTGGGGAGGTACCGGCGAGAGCTCCATCTTTGCGGGGCGTCGCCGGGAGCACCGCCGAGGCGTGCGGGGCCTCAGGAATGAGCTGCATTGCATTCTTCTCGGAGCTTCTTTAAAATTTCCAACTCTTTTTTCCACTAAAGATCAAGCTGCTCAAGCTTCGTCACGGTCCTCGGCTTTGGAGGCCCTCCGGTCCGGGGAGCGGGGGATGAGGATGAGGAGTGATGAGAAGTGCAGACATCTCTGCACAAGCCTGCAGGCTGCCAGTAAGATCGCATCGTCTCATCCTAAGACCAGTGTGGCGCTACTGCGCTACAGAAGGGGAAGGGCTCTGGGGCGCAAGCCTGCCAGCACTCACATGTCTGAACTCCTCTGGAGCAGCTTCTGTACAGTGCTGCTGTCACCCCCGTTGGCTTCATTGCCCCAAGTGACCTTAGCGACGCAAAAACTGAAGGCAGACGCTGTAACGCTGGCTGAAGTATCGGGCCGCCCTGTCCGACTTGACATGCGAGCAAGCCGCCACACGACCGTCGGCGCAGACAGCTGCAAAGGCCTTGCGTAGCAACTTCAAGCAGCAGTCTTTCGACAAACACTTCGGATCGGCCTAGTCACGAGGCAAGAGGCTAAGCCGAGGCACAGAACTTGAGCCTCGCATCTCAATCACATCTGTCAGCTGGCGCTGCACATTTCGGCTGTCCTTGGTGTTTGGATGGCGACAGTCATTGCGCTTGAAGAGTGCCTTGACAACACGTGCGGAGTGATGTTTCAAAAGCCGTCCTAGCCAGGCTGCACCGCCGCAGCGCCGATTGCCCCATGTCACCACGCTGCCGTCTGCACCTGACAAGCCCCGAAGGAAACAGGGTGGGGGCTGTTCGGGACATGCTGCACGGCTGACACAACAATCTCGCAGCCAGGCACGCAGGGCAGCGAAAGCGAAGCCGGACGGCCGAAGAAGGCGCACGCCCTGAAGCTGCTCCTGGACCGCGGAGCTGTTACCGCCTGACGGCCAGGGGACCAGAAGTCCCAACTAGGAAAATCCAGGAACAGCTTTGGGAGGCGAGAGGGAACGTCTCGTCAGAAGTCTCTTCGCTTGACCCGCTCTTCACGCGACAAAGATCTTAATATTTGCCAGTTGCCAGGAGACCGTGGTGTTCGTTGCCCCAGGTCACGACCTCGGAAACCAGCTCATGGCACACTCCGAATGTGACTCCCAAGCCGGTAGCTCCAAGCCGGTAGCCGAGGCGCGGTGCCATCTGCCCGCAAGGCCGCAAAGGCCCCGAGCGAGGAGCGAATCTGTCGCACGTTCGTCAGCTGCTCCTGGCGGCCCAGAAAGCGCCCAAGCGGAGGCTCTTAGGCTCTGTTATTCTCTTAAACGGTCTTAAGCTCTTAAAGCCGTTTTTTCAAGCTTGCCACGTGACACACCCTTCGGCGCTCCTGAATGCGGCTTGTCTCCTCGGGCGTTTCGGCTCCCAGAGAGCTTCGAGGCACGACCCAATGCAGCCCAGTGGCCCCACCGTGCCTGGAGTCCCCCCAAGCCACCACTCGTCCATCCTACAGACCAGCTTGTTTGCATGCACAGCTCCAAGATCTCACAAAAAAAATTGAAGCTGGCGAGAGTCAACAGCCGGGAGCCCAGCCTTCCGCAGTGCCGCGAAGGCAAAGTCTGTCCCACGTAATTGCCTGGAAATTGCTGGGCTTTGAGCACTGGCTGAAAGTGTCGAGTCTTCTTGGGTCGGGTCTTGGGTCGGGTCTTGGGTCGTCTTGTCGGCTCTTGGGCCTTACGTCGCAGAGGGCCAAGCGCGAGCTGGAAGGCTGCGGAACCTGGACTGGCTGTTGGCAGCCGGCTGCGGCAACATTCCAATTGGCCAGACACCAGAAGGCAGTCAGAGAGGGAGAGCGACAAAGAAGCGACGGCAACAGAGCAGTGGTGGAATTCCCAGCCGAGGCTCTGAGCCACCGTGACTGTGATTTCCCCAGGCCTCATGTGATCGGAATCTAAAGCCAAGATGTGGCAGGACAAGTTCGTGTCCACTCTGTGACCTCGCTCGACCAGAAGACTGAAGAGGTGGCTTGAGACCCGCTCAAATAGATCTGGCTCCCTAGCACGGTTTGAGCAGAAAGGCTCATGTTGCACTGCGAGGAAACAATGCGAAACAGTGCCCGGACGAGTTGACAACGTTTGGGCTAAGACCTGACGTATCTGTTCCTGTGAGGCCCACTCGCCCCACCGCGCCTTGAATGGCACCTAATTAATGCGTCGAGCAGCCACAACTCGGCCATCCCGACGAATGGCCGCGAAGGCTCCAAAGGTTGCTCTGATGGCGATGACATCGAACAGCTCGCTCTGCACCTCGGCTCCGGCTTTTTGCGTCAACATCCCGGGCTGCCGGGAAAGCCCGCTTTGTTCCCCTTTAATTCTGCAGCCGAGCAACTTTCTGGCTGTCACCGCCACTCCTAGCGAACAATATCTCTCGTGCTGGGCGTTGGAGAGGTTGAAGCACTTTACTACACACGTCGTGGCTCCTGGAGTGTCCCCAGGTCACCACATGGCCACCACTGCAGAGCGCTGCAAAGGCTGAGGCGGTACCGCGGAGCGCACTCACGTTCACAAGTCGATCTTGCACCTTCCCATGTTCCGTAGGTGCCACTGCTTTCAATTTCGAGCTACGGGAAATTATTACTCAACACGACACCTTGCACCTTGCGACTGTCTCCTCCGTTCGCAGGGTTTCCCCAGGTCACGACGCTGCCATCGTTTAGAAGAGCAGCAAAGGCATCCGAAGTGCTGCGGATCTGGGTCACCTGGTGAAGCTCACGATCCAGACAAATCTAGCAAAAAAGCCAGTGGAGCGCCAGTATCAGCACAAGACACATTGCGGAGCTGTTGCTGGACGGCGCTGCTGTCGCCTGAAGATTTGCAAACATGTCGGGCAGTTTCCGGAGCTCGACGGCTTCTTCGATGCTTCCCTGCCTCCTGCCGCCTTGCTACCCCAAGTCACCACAGAACCGTCGGAACGAATGGCAGAAAAGGCAGCCATGTTGACACGGATTTGGACGACCTCCTGACTCGAGCTCGAACACGGATGTCAACCGTTCTTCGTAGTCCGTGCCAGGCTGCACACGAGACATACAGAAGACGCTGCAAAATTGAGCACAATTTATTAAAGCCCCACTGCTCCTGAAGCTGCTCTTGCAAATAGCTGCTGCTGTCTTCGCTCCCGCCCCAGGTCACCTGATTGAATGCACGTCTCTTGACACCGGAAGACGGCAGGGCTTCAGCGGCTTACCGCGGATTCCTCATGGAGCTCCCACATCCGAAAACCATAGCAACAACGTACTGTACAAAACCCAGGTTGTCAGGACACACGTCAATCGTACCCCGTAATATACCGAAATCCGTGACCATGCAGGACTCTAAGGCGAGACAAGGAAGAGCACAACGACAAAGCGCCACGCACCACAAAACCAAGCAAACAAACTGATGATGACATTAGAGCTGACATGGAACAAGTCTTACGAACCGTTGTTAAACAGGGAGTAGGGTGCTTTGGGTAGATGCAAAATTTGCGAGCGGTGCAAGATTCCGTCCACCCGCGGTAGCAGTAGCAGTGTCAGTGGTGGTTGTAAGGGAAATGGTACGAGCGAAATGGACAGTGGCCACCACACGTCTGCCGCGGATCCCGGCGTGAAGCTCGCGACAGGCACTTCGTGACATGGTGAGGTGCCGGCCGTCGCCAATTCAGATTTTTTCGGGCCAATCAAAATTAAAACTTGCAACGCTCTGCAGGATTCTTGCAACGCTCTGCAGGATTCTGTGTGCAAGGTCTGTGTGCTTTTCGTCGATTTCTCATCGTTGACACCATGATCATGCGATTTTCGTGGCAGGAATGCGCTGTTCGTAGGATCATGGTTTGGCTGTTGTCGCCGCTAGAGTTTCGTGATCGAGCCGGATATGAACTTGACAAGGTTTTACGAGGATTCAGGTTGCGATGTCTCGATGTGGTGCGAGAACCCAAACCCTAAACCCAGGGGAGGAGGATGGTAGACACAAACCCTAAAAGCAGTTGGTTAAAAAGAGGCACGATGATCCCAAACCTTTCTACAGTGGGTTGTGCGAAAGCAGATACAAATGCCGTGAGCTCTCGGAAACCAAAACCTTTCAAGGAGCAACAAACGGAGTCTCTGATGCGAAAGAAGCGCAAGAACCGAGTAGCAGATGCGAAACCCGAACCCCCAAAGAGTGGGTGGCACGAAAACCCCGATTCCAAAAACCCTAAACCCGAGAAAAGGAAGTGCGAGAACCCAAACCCGAAAAAGGAATGGCCGAAACCCCGACAGGAGTGTGTCGTGCGACAGCCAAAACCCAAAAAGGAAACAATAGTATGGAAACCGCAAACCCTGAAAGGAGCGTGCGGTAAGGACTGCAAGCACTTGGAGCAGTTCGGGGTTTGATGTTGTTGGAGGTTGGGTTGGGCCGCGACGGGCAGCAATGGTAGTAGCAGCACCAGCAGCTTAGGAGGAAGAAGAGGAAGAGGCAGAGGAACCGTGGGAATAAAGCGTCATCATCATGGCCGTTTTCAGAATTCTGAACACAGTCGCGATCACTTCCATAGAATCATCATCGCAACAAGAATCTGGCATTGGCACTACTGATACTGGCACCAATGCGAATGCGAGTTCGACATAAACGGGTGCCCATTACACTTCTTCAAAAAGATAACATCAATATGTCCTGCTGCTGTAGTCGTACGCTGCGACTGCCGCAAAAGCCAAGTGGGCTAGAAGGCTGGGTTTGCAGCCTCTCTCTACATGTTGGTAGGCGGGGCCGGCCGAGTCCTACAGCAGCTCCAGTACTGCTGCCGTTGCTGCTGTTGCTACTACTACAACTACGACAACGACGACGACTGCTCGACTGCTAGACTACCACCACTACTAATCATGCTGAAGATGATCATCATGACGACGACGATGATGATGATGACAAGAGCCACCATATCTGCACTTCTCGCGCTCTTCATCAGCACGTCGCCGCTCGTCTTTGGCGTTCTTCCGCTCTTCTGTGGAGCGATCCATCAAGCACGGCATGATGACTCTGGCATCGCTGTTGTACTCCGCTTTAAGCGCAGGCGACTCTTGGCTCAGCTGAGAGCCCTCCGCGGCTCTGCGGTTCTCTGCCGCTTAACCGTCTCAAGGCCAGGTACCGCCACGGCTAAGTTCCCAAGACGACGGCCCATTGCCTCCAGCTCGTGCTCTGCAGCCTCCTGGGTGTCAAGTACGGCCACTGACGACTCTCTGTTGGCAGGTGAAGACTTTGCTGCAGTACGTCTCGGAGGCGGCGACGACGTGTTTGGCGGCCACGAACCTTCACGCAGATCTATCTGCTGCGTGGACAACAAAAGTCCTTGGCGGCGCAATTACTCCTCATGGAGTGTCTCTGGGCTCATTCCGGCTTGCGAAGTCTCATGCGACGTCTGGGAGCTCATCCTGTCTCCCTAGGAGCACCGCATCGTAGGAGGAGCGCCCCTCTGAGGGAAAAAAGAGGCTGCAAAGTGTGAAGAAGCTTCAGAATCGGCATCAGAATCGAACAGCCCTTTTATTCTTCTTGGACATGGTGTGAGCTGCACCCTCCACTGAGCTTGCCACCACGGATCCATCACGACGAGTCAGCGCGAAGACAGACGAGCGGCGACTCGAGGCCTCTGTTGGCGAAGCCCCCAAGAAAAAGCCTTGCCGAAAAATGGCTAGCAGCCATTGCCGAGGGCCCTCTGCTTAGTCGAGGTTTGGGCTTCATCTCAGGCCCAGTTATGGAGGATGAACTTGACAGAGATTCTTGGTCGAGAAGGTTCACCGACTCACATCCCAGTGGCAATTGTAGCTGGGCAGCAGATTGCAAACAGCGCGTCTCCGCTGCAAATCCCTGCTTCTGACAGCGTCCACAGCGGGTGTAGCAAGCCTCCTCCACATGTCAACTGCTCTGTGCTTTTGGTCTTCTGGCGTAAATCATTCGCCTGTGTCCTTTCTCCGGCTACTTGCATTTGAGCACATCTGCCGTTGATAACGCAGTGCAGCTCTGCTGGGCTTGTCTCTGTGCATCCCGCTCCTGGGCCACTTAGACTGGCGATGCTGATGTGGAGCTCCTGTGAAGAAGCCACGAGCTCTCCCTTGTTTGGATCAGGCCAAGCGAAAGACAGGTCTATGTGTCAAGCAGAGTCCTGTTGGACTTTCGTCTTCAGATCCTCCCAACACAGGTGAAAGCACAACGAAGCTCGACAATTGCATTCAATATATTAACGGTCTGCGGTTGGAGGCAGGAAACGGCCCCTTTGCTGACTTGCCAGCATCATTGAGTTTAGCAGCCCGTTCCTGCACACATGTGTCGGGAGACACCACCAGCGATATCTGGCGGCCACTGAGCAAGGCGACATCAAGCGCCAGGGACATGTGTGAGGCCAAACCATAGCCACCCTAATTACCTAATTCCTTTAGGTCTGTCCCCCATGCAACTATGTGTCGGAGAGACCTGCCAAGTCCGATCATTGCTTACTTGGGAAAGAAGGGGCCTGTCAACGACTTGCATTTGCATCTGCCATCTTTGTAAGGCGTGGCTTGAGCTGAGGAAGCAAAAACCCACACAAGAAAGTACTGCAAGATGCAGGGCCCCACTGCTTTGCAAAAACTCTTCAGGCGCTGCTGAGGATGCTGCTCGCGGGGATTGGAACGTCGTCGCAACTGGCGCCAGCCAGTATGAACATGCTGATACGCCCCAGTGGATGCTTTAGAACCCTGCTTTTCTGTTGTGGGCGTGCAGTGATGTCTCGCCTCTTGCTTCAGCTCCTTTGCAAGCGCAGAAGCCGGGGGTCCCTGGCACGGGGCAGCCTGCTTCGCATCATCGGAAGCACGTGCGGGCTCAGAAACGGTCAAGGTAAAAAGTGCAGGTCGGTCTTGCTGCAGCGAACTGCACAAAACGAACTGCATGGCATCTCCGGCTCCGTGCAGGTGCCTCGCAGTGCCCTTGCTGGGGCGCATTGGACAGGCCTCATCACAGCGTTCATTATGTGACTTGACACATGCAAACGGCTGGAATATCTTCAAGTCCCCAAAGCACCTCACGGCTTCACGGTTCTTAACGGCAGCCAAGCCACAGCTACGTGCAGACTCCCAGGTGTCCAGGCTGGTCGGTGTGCTCATGTCACAACTGGCACAGGCTTCGGCATGGCAAAGCATTCAACTTTCCATAACCTCACGAAGCATTCCTGGCGTCGAATGGTCTGCGACCTTCTCCGCGACGGAGAGGAGCTGCAGGACACAAATGTAGGACCTCGCAGTGCAGTCCGCAATGTCAAAACACGCTGCCCAACGAAGGCGTCAATGAAGACACTTGAAGCTCTCATCACATGGACAGCTGCTGGTCGCCTTCGGCAGCATGTCACACGGTCGAGACTCATGGAAATATCAAGAACGTGGCAAAGGCATGATGCCGCGCAGGTTTGGTGACTCGACCACACCCAGACCCGGACCCAAAGTGCCAAGCTCTGAAACCAGCAACGATCAAAGTCCACTTTTGCATATCGGAATGCTCCAAGCACCGTGCTGTCGTCATTGTCGGACACTACAGGTCCGCTGGGTGCACCTCCAAAGCTGTGCGACTGGCAACAGCGATGTGCAATTTTCAGCATACATCATACATAGGATGATTAGCCAACACTGTTTGCACTGGCATATCACTTGTGCGGCCCTTTTGAAGTCACGTCGAGCTTGCGTCTACAAGCTGAGCTCACGAGAAGAAAATGATTCAATTGAGAGCACACGGCTGCACCCAACCATGCGGCGCCCTCTGCAAGTCGATCGAGCAGACACTGGATGGGGCAGTGCAGCCTCTAGAACCTAGAAGACACATGCAGCGTCGGCTCATGGTCCGTCAAGCTCTCGCCACACTAAGATGACGCTTGACAAAGCGCCAAAGCTGTTGAACTGCTTGGCCTTCGAGTAGCATGGTCACGGGTTGGACAGGGCCAAGGAAGCGTGGACATCAGAGGAC